ACTTATCACACAGCACAATTGCAACAACTATAAATATTGCAGATTTAGTCAATCAGATAACAGCAGGACATGCACAAAGTAGCAGTAGCAATTCATCAAATGAAGCTATTAGTGTTCATAGTTCTCCACCTATTACTGTCCATAGTTCTTCATCTGAAAGTCCAACAGAAATACCAGCACCAACTGAAGACGAAGAAGAAGAAGAAAACCAACATTTCAATTTTGAAAAATTAAAATCTAAATAATATTATATATAATGGGTTCAAGTAAATCAAAACCAGTAGAAATTGATGACGAAGAGGCTATTAAAGTAATAAAAGATATAGATGTAAATACGATAAGTGAAATGTCAAGAATTGATATTCTACAAATAAATTCATTGAAAGCAATAATAAATAAATTAGAAAAAGTTAATGAATGTAAAAAAGACAAAATATATTATAAATTACCTGCCTTAAATTTATGTAGTTATTCTTTATTTTGAATTAATAATATTAAAACATAATTAATATTATTAATTGCTTATACAACTTCTTTCACTTTTTGGCGTTGATGTTGAAACAGTGCTATTTGTTTCATCTATTAAATGTTCTTCATCAACAAAATTATTTTGAAATCTTAATAATTCCTCGTCCGTTGCCCTCCTCTTCAATGCCTTATAAAGTTTATGTATCCAAGAATTAGTATGAAAATTATAATTACCTCTACGATACAATCCGCCACATCTACATAGTTTCATTGGCATATTATTATATTATATTAAGTTAGAATATCTTTATTCATCATTTGTAATTTGAAATGCCTGTTCAAAATTGATATGAAACATTTTGTTAATGTCTTTTGAATTCATATTCACGTAGAAAAAAGAATATGGAGCAAAATTCACTGCTTGATGATACATATCTAATAATTGCTGTTTGTCAACAATGGCGCTATTTTCTTCAATAAAACTCATTAATTCACTGGCATTTTTCAACCTAAAAATATATAATGAACTGGCATTTAAACGAATGATAGGCGCTAAAACATTATATTTTTGTGTTGAACAAATCACACTTACTGCATCGTGCCTGCCTCTTGTAAATAATCCATGTAATAATTTACTATATCTAACAAATTTAGGGTCGTCTGCGTGGTCATCTATAACGATTAATATTGAATGTAGTTTCTTTATCTTTTTAGATTTCATATAATTAATTATTTTCTTCTGTCTTTCAATTACATTTTCTAAATCACTTGGATTATAATTATCAAAATAAATTTGTTCTTTTTCATCATCTACGTGCAATTCGTCCCTGATATATTTTTTAACTTCTGTAAATGTAGGGTCGTTATGGACGCTGGGGGAAAATATAAATATTCTTGCAAATGAATTTCTATAAACATTCAATATTAAATTTTGAATAAGGACAGTCTTCCCGCCCGTTGAACTCGCGACTATAATACTTCTAAATGGTAATTTTGGCACGTGCTCATATTTAGATTGTTTGAATTCATATTCAGTTATGTTTATTGGTTTTATTATTGGAACATCTGTCATATAGTTAATATTAAAGAAATATAGAAAATTATATTTAAAAATTAACTTGTAATTAATATTAAATGGACGTGAGGAACGAGCCTCGCGTGCTAACGCGACCATCATTTTTATGATATGCTGGTGGCGAATATCATAAAAATGGAACAGGTTTGTCCATTGCTACAATCAATAAGCATTGAAGCTAATTAGTTTGTATCTCGCTCGCGTGTGCAATGAAAACCCCAAGTGCTGTGTCCCACCAATATTCTATTATGCATGAAAATAATAAGATTAAATAATTTAAATAATTATTTTATCTTATTATTATATGACTGTTATCCATTGCAATTGTTGTAAAACTTATGATGACAAATATTTATTTAAACATCTAAATTCAAAATATCATCAGAAATTTGTAGAATATAGATGGAATAAAGACGATACAATGAAAAAACTTTACAAGAAGAGAAAGGCAGAAATGAAAAATAATTTATCTTATTATTTAATATGAATAGGAGTTATTCAGATTATATTAATATAATAGATGAAATGGAGAATATAGAACAAGTACTAATAACTGATAATAGATGTAAAAAAATATGTTATTTTATTTTAGAATTAATTAAGTTTTTGATACAATATATTAAAAATATAAATATTAATATAAATGCCAAAAAAGAAAAACAAAAAGAATAAGACAGGTTTAAGTGTTTCATCAACTGATGAAGAAATTGTTAAAGAAACATCAGTTATTGAGGTTGTTTGTCCTATGTGCAAAAAGATGTTAGAACTTAAAAATGAGTTAGAAATACAAAGGAAGGGAAATTGTAAATGTAGTTGTGTGCCAGTTGGTTTTAAAGTAAGTAAAAATGATAAGAAAATGAATATTGATAAAACTAAAGACAGTATCAACTTAGAAACTGATGTCCATAATATAACTTTTAAATTTGGTAGGCAAGCAACACCATCCGATAATAATGAAAACGAAACACAGGAAACTGTTAAACAAATGATGAAAAATATATAATTAAATAAATAAATATCTAAATAAATATATAGTAATGTCTGAAAACGAAAATTATACTATTAATGATTTAATGAAGAAGATAACATTAATTAGTAAAAATATCAAAAACTTAAATGATATGATTAAATCCATTGATGACAAAATGAAACCAGTTGAACGCAATGAAGATAAAGAAAAAATCGATAAGATATTTCAAGCAAAATCTATAGGTAGACCCAGTGGCGATTACCCTACAAAGCAAAAGAAATACTGTGATATGTTGAATACAGGAAAAATCAAACAACCAAAGCAACAAACATTAGAGTTTTATAAAATTACAAAAAATGATGATGAAGTATATGTATTATTTGAATAATTAATATCTAAGTAATTCTAATATTCACTTAAACAAAAAACACCATTAAACACTATGGAGGAAACAACACCAGTTAAATCACGAAAAAACCACAAAGACTATTCAAATGGTAAAATATACATAGTTAGAAATACCGAGAATGATAGCACATACATAGGAAGCACAACACAGAAATTAAGTGAAAGAATGGCACAGCACAGAAAAACAACCAGAAATATAAGAGCAAATAATTATAAGGTTTATAGGTTTATGAATGATAGAGGTATAGACAAGTTTTACATAGAACTTATTGAATACTTCCCGTGTAATACTAACGAAGAATTACACAAAAGAGAAGGTGAAATAATACGAGAATGGAAACCTGATTTGAACAAACACATAGCAGGAAGAACTGTTGCCGAATACAAAGAAGACGAAGCAGAACAAATCAGACAACGTGATAGGGAACGCTACGCGAGAAATAGAGATGTTAGATTACAGCAACGAAAAATCAAATATACCTGTTGTTGTGGGTCAGTAATTAGAAGAGATATAAAAGCAGTGCACGAAAGAAGTAAAAAACATCAAGACTTTTTAAACCAAAATATTTAATCTAAATAGTTCTAATAAATGAATTTATTAGAGTTATTTTCAGGTAGTGGTTCAGTCGGAACCATAGCAAAGTCGCTTGGATTTAATGTGATATCATTAGACTTGAAAAATGCTGATATCAACACTGATATTTTGGAGTGGGATTACAAACAGTTTGACAGAAACCATTTTGATTTTATTTGGAGTAGTCCCCCATGCACTGAATACAGCATAGCAAAAACTAGGGGAACTAGGAATATCGAATATGCAAATAGTATTGTCTTAAAAACTATTGAGATTATCAAATATTTCAATCCTAAATATTTTGTAATCGAAAATCCACAAACTGGATTATTAAAACATCAGGAGTTTATGGATGAGTTTGAATTTAAAGATGTTGATTACTGTAAATATGGATTTAATTATAGAAAGAGGACTAGGCTATGGAATAACATTACAACTTGGAAACCTAGAGAATTATGTAAAAAGGATTGTGGCAACATCAGGAATAATAAACATATTGAAACTGCGCAACGTTTGCCAAGTGGAAACAAGGAACAATGGGGTGACAATCCAATAATACATAAGCAGGAAGATTTATACAAAATACCTAGCGAATTAATTTGTGAAATCTTGGTGAGTTTGACGGATTAAGGATTTTGAGTTTGGGTTTCACGGGCTTTGTGATAAATGTTTCACAGGTTTTGTGATAAATGTTTCACGGGCTTTATGGAAATATTCCACGGGCTTCGTGATAAATGTTTCACGGGCTTTGTGGAAATATTCCACGGGCTTTGTAGAAATATTCCACGGGCTTTGTAGAAATATTCCACGGGCTTTGTGGAAATATTCTACGTGCTTTGTAGAATTATTTTACGGCCTATTGCAATGTTTAAAACCATACTATAATAATAACATTTATACCCTTATATGTTATAATTATAATGTAAGTATAGCGTTTTATATATTGAAGATAAAATCCTACAAGGGACACGCGAGCGTTAGCGAAGCTCGCAAGCTATGCGACCACGCCCCAAACAAATATATGATAAAAGTGATGAAACGAAGGAGGGAGTGATGTTGTTGCTGTTCTATTTCTTGTCCGGGAAATGGACAAATCGTTTTTAGACAGTTCGAATATTTTTTTGATGACAAATATGTTTTGCAATATATTTTGCAAAATTTCTTTTTTTGAAATGGATGAGGTGAGGAGATTGAGGAAATGACATTTTGGAGGGTAGTTGGTGAAATGAATGAGGCGAGGAGGAAGGAGAAAAGGATGGCGAAAATTTTGGAAAAATGATGAGAAAAAAACGGATGAGATGGACAGAAAGGAATGTAGAAAAATGATGAAAACGAATAAGGGTAGAAGATGGAAGATGAAAAAAAATGTAGGGTGGGGGGTATGTATGAAGCAATTTATTTGCGGGGCAAGGCCCCCGACTACTCATACCCCCCCAAGCCCACCTACCCCACCAACCTACCCCACCTAGTGTCCCAATCCCCCCACCCCCCACCCACCCTCCAGCCTTCTCCTCGCCCGCCCAGCCCTTCAACACCTTGGGGTACCGCAGGAAGGGCACCGAGGCCTCAGCGCCCCCACCCCCACCCACCACTCCGCCACTCCCACGCCCGAGGAAGACGAGGAAGACATGGCGGTGGCAACCTCAAACTAGGGAACGGCTTGCCCAGGCAAATGGGTAACCCATGAACTAAAACCCGAAAAAGGACCAAGTCCTGATGCGCTAGAAAAGGTTTTGACTCCCATACCCACAAGTCAACTTGTGTTGTTCCTGGCGAGCGGAAAGAAGGGAGCAGAGAATGAGATGAGAAAGGAAGGAGATGAAGGGAATGGGATAAAGACATCTTGCTGTTGCTCAACATTGCCCGCCCTCACCTATCTTTGTCCTTTCTCTTGGTAACTCTCAGTGCAGCGGTTAGATCCCAGAATCTATAGGTGAGGCCGTGTAATCAAGGATGAAGCCGCCGGCCGATGAACCTCATAGGAGTGTGATCTTCGTCCCATCCAAACTGGCACTCATGGAAGCGAACGGGGAGCAATTGAAAAATCAGAGAGAGCTCTGCGTCCTCTTTCATGTGGGTATGGGGTCAAACTTAAACCATCAGAGGACCGCTGATTTTAGTCCCTGGTTGCGTTTGCCGTGGTTCCATTTTGGGTACCCATTTCAGACCCACAGCTATTTGACGCTTTGGGTCTTGGTCTTGGCCCGTCCCCTCGTTCCCGTCTCGTTTGTCGAAACCATCGTCCAGTCAGCCCCGTGCGTGCTCCAACCCTATCCCATCTCCGGCCGCGAGGCCGACATCTCCATCTCCTTCAGGGCAAAAAAAACACTTTTTTTTGTTTTAAAGGCAACTCCAGCCTTGAACCAATGGCTTCGTCTCAAAATTAGCGGCCCAAAAAAATGAGCAGTTTCCGTTTGGATCTCCGTTCAACACCCAGCCAAAAAGGGGCGTCCCTCAAAAACGGACACACCGACATAGCCTTGCCGAAAGGTAGGCAGGTAGAGGTTGAGACTGCCGCACAAATGCAGTCTCGTGTTGTTGAAACCAACATTGGCCAGCCGATATCAAAAGGGAGGCAGAAGGAAGAAAAAAGAAACGCTGGAGATTGAAACCACCAAAGATGGCCCACACTGATAGCACCAACAAGTGTATTCTTGAAACCAGCCAGTGTTCCCCAGAGTTGGCCACCAAAGTAACATGTCCAGGGTGCGTCTTAAAATAGGGGACCCCCAAATAATGGTTGGTTTCAACTTGTGGATTCCTTCCACAACCGCTCCAAAAGGGGTATCATTCAAAAAAGACACACTCACCAGCAACGACCAGAAACTTAGCTCGCAGCGTTTCCGGACCGCTCGTAACCGCCCCGGAGCCCCTCGGAAACCGCTTCGGAACCTCTCCAAAGCTCTTCGCAACCCTTTGTAACAACCACCAGGAACCCAATCGGAAAACCCTTAATTGATCCGGAAGCCTATCCAGCAACCGTCCATGGGACCAACCTTCCGGAACCCTGCAGCAACCGCTCCTCAGGAACCCTCTGGAGCATTGCGGAAAGCGCCGGAACCCTCCCTGGAGGTTGAAACCACCAACAGCAGCCAACAGTTGATGTTCAACCCCAAAAACTCAAGGTTCAGGTTGATCACTTCTGTGGATTGGACCCCAGGTAACCAACTTTTGGTTCATGACTAAACGTGTTTTCCCAAAACGTCGAAAGTCCTGGATGACCGTTCAACTCAAAAACAAAAACCGAGGCTGGGTTGAAGAACCTCAAAGCCAGCTGCAGAGCTTCCTGACCAGTGAGCAACAATCAGTTTGCATGCCCTATCTGGGTACTCTTTTTTTGGCGGACCACGTAAATGGCTGGTTTTCCCTTTTGGCTTCCCTTTAAGATCACTAAAAGAGGGTTCCCCGAAAAGGACATAACCAGTTGGAGAATTCCACCAGGAAATGGATCCGCAATAGAGGCAAGCCCATGTGCTACCTGAGTCTTACTCACTATCAAGTAAGGGACAAGTACGAAGTGACGGACCTATTTATTGATATGGGGGTGCCCCTGGTTTCAGAGGGGTTGGACCACTTGTGGAGGGGGTTTGACCCTGGGGGTTTAAGTCATGAATCTGGGGTCAACATTGCTGACCCCCCAACAAAAAGTGTGGTTGTCCTTCTGGTTTTCCATCCAAACCACCAAAAAGAAAAGTGGATACCAGGACTCAAAGAAAAAAAGACGAGCCAGCCATGGCAATGTGACCTGACCGCTCCTTGGGGTAGGTCTCCGTCTCAATGAAGGGCCCCTCCGAGAGCTTGTCCGAGGCCGCGCGCAGCGCGGTGCGGCCCTGGCGCTGCGGCAGCGCGCAGACCCCGGCGTTGTCCACGAAGCTGCCGCCGAAGGACTGGCAGTTGTTCAGGTGCCTCGGCGTTTCAAGGAACGAGGTGTCGTTGCTGTTGTTGCTGTTGTTGCGGCTGCTGTTGCTGTTGCTGTTGCTGTTGCTGTTGCTGTTGCTGTTGCTGTTGTTGTTGCTGTCGTTGTTGCTGTTGTTGCTGTTGTTGCGGCTGCTGTTGCTGTTGCTGTTGCTGTTGCTGTTGCTGTTGCTGTTGCTGTTGCTGTTGCTGTTGCTGTTGTTGCTGTTGTTGCTGTTGTCGTTGTTGCTGTTGTTGCTGTTGTTGCGGCTGCTGTTGCTGTTGCTGTTGCTGTTGCTGTTGCTGTTGCTGTTGCTGTTGCTGTTGCTGTTGCTGTTGCTGTTGCTGTTGCTGTTGCTGTTGCTGTTGCTGTTGCTGTTGCTGTTGCTGTTGCTGTTGCTGTTGCTGTTGCTGTTGTTGCTGTTGCTGTTGCTGTTGCTGTTGCTGTTGCTGTTGCTGTTGCTGTTGCTGTTGCTGTTGCTGTTGCTGTTGCTGTTGCTGTTGCTGTTGCTGTTGCTGTTGTTGGTGTTGCTGTTGCTGTTGCTGTTGCTGTTGCTGTTGCTGTTGCTGTTGCTGTTGCTGTTGCTGTTGCTGTTGTTGTTGTTGTTGTTGTGGTTGTGGTTGTTGTTGTTGTTGTTGTTGTTGTTGTTGTTGTTGTTGTTGTTGTTGTTGTTGTTCGTTGTTGTTGTTGTTGTTGTTGTTGTTGTTGTTGTTGTTGTTGTTGTTGTTGTTGTTGTTGTTGTTGTTGTTGTTGTTGTTGTTGTTGTTGTTGTTGTTGTTGTTGCTGTTGCTGTTGCTGTTGCTGTTGCTGTTGCTGTTGCTGTTGCTGTTGCTGTTGCTGTTGCTGTTGCTGTTGCTGTTGTTGTTTTTGTTGTTGTTGTTGCTGCTGCTGCTGCTGCTGCTGCTGCTGCTGCTGCTGCTGCTGCTGCTGCTGCTGCTGCTGATGCTGCTTCCTTTTTGCGGTGGCTATTGTTGTTGCAATTGCTTTTCTTTCAAACACTCATAGGGGCTGTCTTTTTTTACAGTTTGTGCTGTTTCTTCCAGAGGCTATGTTTTACAGCTATGATTTTTCAGAACACACTTGACGACGAAAACATCTAGAGTCTCGAGTTTCGAGTCTCGAGTCTCGAGTTTTGAGCTTCGAGCTTCGAGCTTCGAGCTTCGAGTTTGGACCGGCGGGCTAACAATTGTCAAGTTCGATATCGAGTATTTCTTACAGGAGCTTGTGGTTGTTCAAGCAATCACAACAACGGAACCCTCAATCTATCAATTCAAGAAAAGCCATGCCCAAAGGAACAGCGTGGCCTCTGGAAATCTGCTTAGGGAATGTGGGAAGACTCTGCGCCAAGGATCCATTTGCAGAAGGAAGGGGGGTCCATTGGAAACATTCAAGAAGCCCCCAAACCTCAGAGAGATGCTGAATGGTATTTTTTGGCGGCGGCGCCGTTTTTGTGGCTTTAAAGGGAAACTGGGTGAAGGTACCCTTTTTGGGGTGGTTTTGAAGGGAACAAAAAGGAAAACCCACCGAAGGGGGGGCTACAGGTTGAGGGGCAAAGTACCGATGCCGCTTGCAGACTTTGATAACCCTCGCCGTCAAAATGAATGGCAGGCAACATAATATGCCCTTCCTGCTACTATCATGGCAGCTGTAGGAGGAAACTGATGTTTGTTGAGGGACCCTCTGTCAGGTGGCTGCGGCTAAAACATGAGTGCCCAAAATTCAACCCTCGTAAATGGAAATACGAACTAAAATCTGCGGTCCCCTGGTTTAAGTTTGAGCCACAGGCGTTCAATGCCAGCTTCTCGCCCGACAGATTGGATCAACAGCCAAGGCTCTGCACGTACCACTGCACGGGCTCGCCCCACCAGCCGTATTTGGACATGTAGCTCAGGGGCGGCTCGCCGAACATGCCGTCCTGCGAACACCAAATCGAGGTCCTTTGCGCCAGCAGGGTCCACCCGAGATTGTGGGCAAAGGGGGGAAGCGCAGAAATGGACGGTGCCCAGCTGATTTCCCATAACAAAAGGTGGCATCCCAACAGCAATCAGGACTCGGAGCCTCGACAGTCTCAAATCAATCGAGCTTCACCGCTGAAATGTCGCCACTTGCCAAGTGGACCTCCCCCCCCCTCTGGGGGCTTTCCCGTTGGCCGACGTAGATGGATCAACCCCTCGATCGGGAGCATGGTGACGCACCAGTGCAATGGGTCAGTTCGAATAGCATGAAATGACTTCTCCACCTGTATGGTGATTTCCAGGTAACTCCTGTGCTAAAAGAACAGATATGCGTTTGCTGACATGATTTCAAAACAAAATGCATATGAACAATGAGGAACAATTGCAGCCTTCTGTTTTTCACTCCAGGACAGATGCTTTCTTCCGAATATCCATCTCGCTGGCATCGTTCCATTGCCACTGTGACCCGGGTCGGCGGGTAGCGATGTCCAAAATCGTCCCATCCCCCCTACCTTAGGGTGGGTGGGGGGGGGGGGGGGTGATGCCCCAATTGAGTGGGAATATCGGGATATCGTCCCCGGCTCCATGATTGGAAGAGGGTGCCCCTGTTAGAATGTTGGAATGGTTTAAACATAAATCATGGGAAACAACCCATTCTGTGCCCTCATCTAGAAGCGAACTCACCCCTTGTTTTAGTGCAAACTTCTGCACAAACGACCTCTATGTTTGCTTGCAAGTGTTTTATCCAAAAGAAGCGGCCGGATTGTGAGAAGGCACGCATGTCGTTGTGGAGAGTTTGCGGTTGCCAAAGAGTTGAATCCACGAAGTTTCAGCAAGGCTCTCATAACGCCCAGCGGTGTGACTTTTGGACCGGTGAGTGCATCGAATCCTGCAGACGGCAAGCATAGAGGGCTCATTGCTTGAGCCATCATCAAACCTGGGTCATTGAAGGTTAGTACGGGACAGTCTCAACCAGAACAACCAGAAATTGGAGCGGCTGCTCTGTTGAGTAGTCCGCTTGAATACCTCAGCCGAGCTTGTCGCCAAAGGCAACCCCAGGCATATATATATAATATATATATATATATATATATCATATATATATATATATATTATATATATATGCATGTTTTATATGTTTCCACCTGATTTCCCTTCAACCCCAACAAAGGTTCCCCTGAAAAAGACAACACACTTTCTTAGGGTCGTTTGGCACTCGCCGTTTTTTGCGGCGCACCGGGCACTCGTCCCTCCCAGAAATCCGGCGCCCTCTCGCGTGCTCTCGCCGGGCGCGCCTGCACCATGAGGCCCATGATGGCGATCATGGCCAAGCGCCCGTTGTTGCGCTCCTCGGACCCGGAAATCCTCCCTGCTCCCCAGGTCAGGATTCCCATGAAACCCAAAGACCTGGAAGACGATTCTCTTGGGACCCCTTCTTTCAGGTGTCAGGTTTGTCTTCGGAGGGTCAATCTCCAACTTTCGGTTTCTGGGACAGCAGCACAGCCTGGCATTTTAAGTTTGAGCCACAAATCGAGCCAGTGGCAACCTGAATGGTGCACCTGAGCCGATGCCTTCCCTGTACTTCCAAAATCCTCCAAACTTTTGACCAGATTTCTCGAGTACTGCAGAAAATGACACACACACACACGCGCTCGCGCGCGCTCTCTTTGATGCCTGGAATTTGGAAAGGGCGTGCATGCGTCTGGCGTACGCGTGCATCTCTTTGGCGGGTCATATTGGGGGGTTGTGGCCAACCCTAGTTCAAGGTCACTCAGCCAAATCCCAGATCTAAGCGGTACACAAATGCTTTGAAAGCCTCTCTCTGCACAGCCCAGTGACCACGGGTAGTCAAATAGGAAACTGACAAAGAAAGGAAGAAACGCCACTGGTCGTCTCGTGTGGTTGCCCTCCAAATATGGAACCCGCATTGTGACAGACCTACCTTCTTTGAAGGGTCCCCCTCGTGGGCAAAACACCGAGTTAGGCACCCTGCACCCCAACAAGCAAAAACAACAACCCCAAATCCTACAATTTTCACGGTCCTTGAAAGGGGAGCAAAGGGACGCCGCTTAAAAGTCTTACTCGCCTGCATGGGGGAACTAGCAAAGAGAAAGCGACAAAAGAAGTCTAAGAGGGCTTCTATTGCCCTCAAACTACCTAAGCCCCCAAAGGACATGGGGTGACATAAACATTTTTCATATACAGATGTGACCGCGTGCGAACGGTTTTGGGGCAGCGGACAGCCTCTTAAAGACAGTGTATCCACCCAGTGACGATAGGCGTCGCGCTGCTCTGCGGAACTTGGTCACCTGACTAGACATGGCGCAAGCAACTACACTAACCCATATTGACCCCAAGTATACTCTGCCAATTGACCTGGAAGCCAAAAAAAAAGAGTCCGATTCCCAGAAGGCATTTCCTCAAATGCCCAGTATGAAGCCCAAGCACTCAACTCCGTGAGATAGAGGGGTCTATCATTCCTACCGGACCTGAGAACTTCCATTTTGCTGAAGCCCCCTGGAACAAAACGTGAAATAGATTCCCTTCAAAACCAACAGGCAAAAAAAAAGATATATGTATATATATGTATATATTCTTAAGCAAATGGAGAACTCTGACCCAAGCGCCCGAACTTCTCTTCGAGCCGCCGAGGTCTGCTTCCTCTCGAGCTCCGCGTCGTCGATGCCATCGATGAGCTCGGTGCCCAGGCCGAAGTCGTACCTCACGGCCCCCGGGCTCATGAATCTTCTTCACTCGTAAATTTGCATGGCAACCCAAGGAGTTTGATCATGAAACCCAAACAGTTTGACCATGGCAAGCTGGGTGGTTCCCAGCCATCAGGTTCCTGAGCTGCTGAGCTTCTTTAGTGTTTAGTGGGGATCTGAAACGGGCAGCCCAGCAAAAACGAACCAACACCCCGCAGGGCACGCAAAGACTTTGATTTCTCGTAAGGTGCTGAAGGAGTCGTGCAAGTAGTTGGCACAGTTTATGGCTACGACTAGGGCGGTATCTGATCGTCTTCGATGCCCTAACTTTCGCTCTTGATCAATGAAAACATCCTTGCCAAATCCGCTCGCAGTAGTCCGTCTCCAACAAATCCACCTCTGACCGCTCGTTCTCCCCAGAATCCTCCCAACACCCCGCCCGAGTCTTCCAGTCTTCCAGTCTTCCTCCCACCCAGTAGCTGGGGAATGCATACACTAACCAGCAACAGCCGTTTGCACAAGGACTTTCCAAATACCAAACAAAACTTACCCTTTTGCGGTTAATCATCGAACCGCACATAATCTCTGAGTCGGCTCACATGCACTACAAAGTCCTCTCTCTGGGAAAACGACCTATCTCTTGTCATTCAAGAGGTATCAATCTTAAAAGAACGGGAGCCTCCTGCCTGAACCTCAACCGTGAATTTTCGGAGCAGCCTTCTTGGAAGTAGACAGGATGGCTGTACCATATCACCATCTGGCCTGATTCTATCTTTTGAAAACCCACGACGTTTTAGAGGAAGCTCCTTTTGGGGAAAGGGACCTCCTTTTTTAAAACCTGCTTTTGGGGGACCTCCGTTTGGGGCTTCCTACATTTGTAGGGGAGTAAACACGCCCCCAGCCCCGTCCCCCCCGTCCGTCTTTGCTTCTTGGACCCAGAGTCTTGCCAGGGCGCAGGCCCATGCCGCCCTGCCGAGGCTTCACCAGCACCTGTCTGACAATCCGCCGACCCCGCCCCCTTTTAGGCGGGGGTTGCGGGGTTGCTGCCTTAGCCTGTTCCAAAAAGCCGTCTTAGGAAAAAATCGGTGGGCAAACCCCAACTAAAACATGAGCGTCACTGGTCTCCTGGAAATGATCCTTTCTGTGATTCAAAAATGACGAATTGTGTGACTACTTGGTCATTGTTCCCGGGGGAGTCCCTTGGTATCGCAGAACATGTCCTTGAAACCAAGGTCCCCACAACCCACCGTGAGCCACGCCCAATCGGATACCCTTGGTTGGACCTGGAAAACCAAAGAGAAAATCGGAAAACCAGTTTTTCAGGGGTCCCCAAGTCCCCAATGGGTGGTTATATTCAAGCTTTCTTGGGGGGGAACAGTGTGGAAGGGCACCAAAAAGCAGTGTTCGCCTCTTGCTTTGCCACAAAGAGTCGGTCCCAAGGATTCATGGTCACAAAGAACGAACATGAATCTCCGTCCCCTTAACCATCCCCAGCCAAATGTCCGTTGCTCTCGTTGCAGAAACGGACGCCCCACGAACCCGTAGCTGTGGCGGTAGGACCACACCAGGGATGCACGCCCCATTCGACAACAGGGTACCAACAGGAAATGGTCTGTTTGGGTTTCTTTGAAAGACAACCAAAAAGGGTTCCGGTCATACCCTCCGGCAGATTCACATGGAACCTGAAAAACGCGATCATCGGAGGAATTGCCTTTGAGGGCCTTCTTTGAATATGGGCGTTCCCCTCCAAAACGTTCCCCTCCAAAACTGGTCTGAACCCCACTAAAACCAGGGACACAACCGACATTAGGGGGGGTAACCGACAATGATGTTTTGTTCCTTCGTTTCCCATCAAGAACCCGCAAAAGACACAAAAGTACCCGCAACACATGTTCACACCCACTCGGATGTTCAACCAGGCTGTGTTCCGGCAAATTAAAACTATGGAACCTGAAAACACCGTCGTGATTCTTGAACAAAAAGGCTTTGCTTCTGCAAATTAACTATGGAACCTGCAGAAGAAAAAAGAAACAAAATAAAGGGCGAGAAACAAAAGAGAAAAAAAAAGAAGAAAAAAAAAGGAAGAAAACACGTGCCTTTTCAAAGATTCGAATCCCCTTTTGGCGGGTTCGAGGGCGGTCACAGACGGGTGGACTGTTCGCCTCATGGGCGCCCACAAGGGCCACCAGCTGCACCCAGCCCTCCAGGGGGATGGACTCGAAGGCCCCCAGCCCGTGCGAGAAGGCCTCCGGACGGGAGGGCGGGGTGGTCATGACTTGGGGTTGGGGGGTGGTGGTGGGGTGGGTGGGGTTGGGGTTGGTTGGGGTGGGGGTGGTGTGGGGCTTGGGGCTGCGCTTGCAACTGAATTTGAGAAAAATGGCGATGGGGAGCGCGCAAGGAAAGCCAGGCAGTCATAAAGCAATTCACAGGGCGTTACAAACATCACGTGGCTGCAATGTGGATTGTCCTCTGAGAAAGCTGACGCTGGATGACCATAGTTGCAAGCTCTCAAGATATGTTCCGGAGTCACCATCAAAGGATCCAGCTGAAAAGACGAGGGGGGAATGGACTGTCTTACCCCGGATGGCGAGCTCATGTTTGAGGCAATGCAAGGCAATCAGCAGGCTTCCTCACACGAAGTTGTAGTTCGACACATTCTGTTCCCATCGAGACCAAAAAAATACAACACACACACACACACACACACGCAATGTAGGTTGGAATTCTGTTCCCGGGAACCGGGGGGAGGGATGGGAGAATCCACACCGAGAAGTTGAAGGTTCCCCGACCAAGCCCGAGGCCCGCTCCTCGCAGCCCGGGAAGCGGAAGATCTCGGGCATGATGTAGCCCACCGTGGCGATCATGGCCACCTCGGGCTGTCGCGGCGGTCTCGTGGGAGTGGCACGTGTTTCCTGTGGGTGTCTCTTTTTTTCATGCGACCACCCCCCCCGGCAAAAAAAAGAGAATGTAGTCGTAGGTGTTCCTTTAAACCAACCCCCCCCCCCAAAAGAAAAAGGTAGACCCATAAAAGTGTCTGAAAAATGGGGAGGGACCTCAAAATGTCGAGTTTCCCCTTGATTCTCTTTTAAAACCAACCAAGGGGCGGTCCCCCAAAAAAACAAGACACACACGCAAAGTCGGTGGTTTGGGCCCGGCAATCACGAACAGGACCAACTTCTGGATGACGCGGTTCAAGGAAACACCAATTGTGGACGCCCATAGGCAAACCGCAACCGGCAACATCCAGGAACCCAATTGGCTCGAAGCAGTTGTTCTTTCTACGTCGTGATGCTCAAGGCTGGTGCTTGGGCGTTTCAAATTTTTAGGGGTAACTTCCATTTCCATTCTTTCCAGGGATCCTTATTTCTAGAAAACCACCAAAAACCCTGGGGAAATGGATGCTGGTTTAAAAAGAACGATGGCTGAAAAGAATGGGGGAATCAGCCCTAGAAAAATTGGTACCAAGTGCTTGGATCTTCAACTTCTAGCTCTTGGCCTTGGAGATGCTTGCTGGTGAGTGACCCTGTTTCGCAGGTGATACAAACAGCGTAAAACAGAAAAGGTATGCCAAAACTCCGAAGAACTGTTCTGCAGTTTTGCATCGTGAATCTACGCTATCAAAGCTGCATAAGTCATCCAACACTCAAAAAGTCGCCCATCTCAAAATGCTGCGTCCACGAAAGTGACAACCTCAAAGTTGCCCTTGAAGTGGAATCACACGAGAACCCCTCAAAGCGTTCGAGAAATGTGTCTCAACATAGGATGCTTCGTTTCCTTAAGCCAACCCCATGGGCTCCAAAATAAACGCAGGGTCACTGCATCTCCCCAGCCCCAAAAAGTTGAGCCATTGAAGCGATCGCCGCCTTTTGGAGGTCCCAAAAAAGGGAGATCGAGGGGGTCCCTCAATTTTCCCAACCAGAAACGACTGCAGGTATTGGGTGTCTTATATTAGGGAAGCCGTCAAAAAGTATTGTTCCTTTTGGTTTCCCCCCCCCAAAAAAAAAAAGGCCTCAACAAGGGCACCCCCCATATCGATTCCCGCAGCTCGATAGCTCGAGAGCTTGAGCCATCGAAGGCGCCCTGCCGTGCTTGATCTCCACCGCGGTGTAGCGGTCCATCTTCGCGTCGGTGTTGCCCAGGTTCAAAGGGTCGAACTTGTCCGTGAGAGGCAGGCACACCCCCACCACGCCCTGAGAAGGAGCTGCCGTGTTTTTTTGTAAGAGACGGGCGCGTCCTTCTTTAGGAGACCCTTTCAACATGCTGGGTGGCTGCTTTTACACCAACCAAGAAGGGATGTTCTGGCTGGTGCGATACGCGGGGAATCCAACTGGTGGTTGCTTGTAGTGGTTCTGTTCCTTTGGGTGTCCCTTTCAAACCAACGAAAATGGGTATCCCCAAAAGGTGTCCTTTTGATTTCCCAATACCAGCAGATGCACCAGTTTGAGAAACACTCATATATGGGTATCAAAATCGGGACTCTGGACTCCCAAAATAATGTGTTCCTTTTGATGTCCCTTTAACGGAACCTCAAAAGGGCAACCTCAAAAATACACACACAAACACAAACCCACAAGGGGTTTGGGAACTTCCGGTAAAGCCCGCTTTCATATCCCAAAGGAAAAACCACCCTGCCACCCAACGGCAGTCCCCATCCGCAGTAAGTTGTGTTTGGGTCAAGAAACCTCACCAAGGCCTCAACAAGGGCATGCGTGGAGGCGTTCATGTCTGAGTCGGTTTTGCCTCCAGTTGCTTCCAAAAAACCCTCTGCCTTGCAACTTGCAACCATGGAATGCAACCATGGCTCCCAATCCACCGCTGGACCACACTTAGACCCCCGGCAAAAGTTGAACTTCTCACTTGAAAGGCAAAAAATGAAGGCACCCCAAACCAAAAAAAAGTTCCACGAAATTTATCCCCCAAGTCTTTTTCCTACGCGCCAGACCAACGCCGCGGGCGTGGGGCGGCTTTTCGGTCGCAGGACCCTTTCGCTTCCGCCCGCCTTCCGCGCAGTGTGTCGGCTGCGAGTGGAGGCCACCACCCCGGCCGCCGCCGCCACCGCCGCGCAGCCCAGGAAGCCGGCGCTGCCGGCGCTGGGCTGGGCAGCGGTGTTCGCAGCGCTGGCCTCGAGGCAAATTTGCGCCTTGAAGGAAATGGGGGGGCTCGTCCTCTTAGGTTGGAACCCCCAAAAACTTTGGTGGTCCTTTTGGCTCCCCAAAAACCAACAAAGGGTACCAAGAAAAAAGATGGAACCAACAAAGGGTACCCCACCAAAAAGAAAACAAAAACAAAAAACTTGTGGTGTTCCTTTGGGTTCCCCCGTTAACACAACCAACAAAGGGACCCAACTCCTAAACAGAAGGCATGCCCATGATTTGGGGGATTTATCCGCCAAGCCTTTAGATGGGTCATTACAAACGAGGGATCCCTCCTTCCAACAACAGTGGACCATTTCGTCGGCTTCCATTCCAAGGGAACCCTCCCTAAGGAGAGTCGTCTAAAAGTGATGGTTTATTGGGTTCGTGTTGAGCGGCAGGGGCGTGCATCTACAAAATGCCTGATTTGCAAGGATCTTGATCGTCTATGGGCGCAAATCCACACAAAAAATATGGACCCCCAAACATGAACGAAAGGAGCCGACCAATCTGCTTCTATTTCTCCGCCCTGGATCCCTGAGCAAACTCCCTCACGCAACCAGCGCAGACTCCGCCCTAAGGCCGAAACGTCATTTCAGCTTCGGTCATGATTTTGGGAGCAATGATCACTAGTTTTCCCTTGTCAAGAGAAGGGTCTGGCTCAAAATAGGGAGACCGGGGTCGCCAAGGCACCCTCAGGGACACCGTCACGGGGCGCTCGGCAGGGGCGGTGAATGCCATGCAGCCGGTGGCGGACAGGGCCATCACGGAAGCAACGCGGGCCATTTTGGGCGGAAGTCGAGTCTAAGGATCGGCGGGTGGGTTTGGCTTGGGCCAAAAACCTGCGAGTCAGGCTTCGGGCTGGGCCCCTTGCGGAAAAGCTGGGCCCCTTGCGAGCAAGCAAGTTTCCCCTTCGCCTGTGGTCCATGGAATCTTGCGCAGAAGCATGTGAGTACGGTGGATGCACTAAATATTGCAAGTAGGGAACAAAGGAAACCTGTTATATCATTCAACCATGCTTTTCCTAAGTTGCTTTACTTGCAATAATTAAGGGCATCCCGTAGCTTGTGGCAAGCTCCCCATCTTCCCATGACTCTCAGCTTCCGCCGCCCTCCCGAAAAAATCGACGCCAATCCCTGGGCTCGGGGCCCGGATCGGGAGGCCCTGGAAGGCTTCGGTCTCTGACTCGCCCTCGCCCTGGACCTTCACCTTCGAATCAGCAGCCGTGAAACAGGCCGCCCAAAGCAGTCGTGCCCGAAGTGCGCGTGAAGCGCCGGGAAAGGACTTGGGGGTCTGTTGCTTCGTGATGCAAACCGGGCCATGCCAGGCTCAAGACTCCCCGGCAAAGACTCATCCCGTGTGCCTGAGAAAGAGGTCCTCTGAAAAAGAGGAATTACGTAGGGGCGACACATGACGCAAGAGATCCCTGCCAGGGATACCTCGACTGTCGAGTGGCGTGTTGCGCCTGGCGCCCTTGCCCCCGAATTAGGCCGAGAGGAGTTAATCATAGCCCCCCCCCCAAAAAAAAAAAAACTGGACAAGCACCTCTACTTGAGTTGGCCAAAAAAAAGAAAACTAAACCCTGCCAATCAAAACTACTCAATTGAGTCAATTGAGTCAAAGTTTGAGTCAAAACTACTCATGCCCACTCAATTGAGTCAAGACTTTAGTCATGGGCATGGCTCCCTCCTCGCTGTTCCAAACTCGGACAAGTCAACGGCTTTCGCCATTAAAAAAGGACGGGGAATCAGCCAAGATCGTCCTCTCATTTTCATTACGCCATGTTGCGCGCTGAACATTTGAATGTTCCTCTACATTGGCGGACCGACCTCCAGGTGGGTGGATTCCTTTTGGTTGTCCCTTAAAAGACCACCCAAAAGGCCCCCCCCCAAAAAAAAATAAATAGAGGGGGGGCTCCCCCTTCTCCCCCCCCCCCCCCCCAGAAATGGAAAAAAAAACCCTCCCCCCCCCCCCCCAGAAAGGGCAAAAAAAATCCCCCCCCCCTCCCCAATTTTCAGACACCCCCGGTCGCCCATTTGCCCAGCCCCCGCAGAATTCGACGGCCGGCCTCGTCCACTGAGCCCACCACCTTGCCCAGCGCCTCACGGATGGCCTGAAGCGGAGAGCAGCAAGCACCGGGAGCCACTTGGAAGGAACCCATCGGAAAACCAAACCCAAACCCAACCAAAACCAACCTGAACCATCCGAAAACCAAACCCAAACCAACCTAAAGCCGCCTCAACCAACCTAAACCAACCTAAACCAACCTTTGAACCAGCCAAAACCAGCCGATGACCCAAACCCAACCCATCGAACCCTCCTTTTCTCACTGACCCCCTGACCCCCTACCCCCCCACAACCCATCGAACCCTCTTTTTCTCACTGACCCCCTGACAACCTGACCGCCTCTGCCCCCCTGACCCCCCCCTGACCCCGCCTGCGCGGTGCTGTTGGCCACTTCCGCCACCGCACTGGGATCTGCCGACGGCAGCAGTGCCTCCACCACCAGCTCCCCGTGCGTGGCGTTCTCCACTTGGCGCCTCATCCAATTTGCAGGCGCTGGTTCGGTGGGCAGAGAGTGAAAATTGGAATGACCCCCAGACAAACCAAATGGAAAGACCCCGGGAAAAACAAAGAAGAAAAAGAAGCCATCCCGGTTTTGGTTTCCTTGAAGGGATTCCCCTCAGAATCGGAATGTACTCCGTCAAACGCAGAACCAAGCCTGCAATATCGTCCAAATGCCTGACTTGCTGGGTCCCAAAACTCGCTGGCTCTCGGCAGGGAATGAGGGAATCATCCGCGAGTTGGCTTCCTTTCAGGGAATCCCCTTCCAGTTCATTCCCTAAACACTGGGTCATTCCCGACCTATTGCGCCAGCAAGATTGGGCGACCGACAGGTCAATCGAGCCTGTCTCGGGCATCCAAAAACTGCTTGCGGGTCCCTTTGAAGGGAAACACCAAGATTCTGCTGCGGCCAGGCACACCCAGTGGGTTCTAACAAATGGCCATGAATGTTTATACCCTTTTAATGGACTGCTCACACAAGAGAGCCCATGAAACCGGCGAGCTAGGAGCTCGCAATTTCTTCGGCTTCAGCTGCCGTTTTGGCCAAAAATTATTTTGGACCAAGCCCTGGTGCAACATAGGCGTGTTGTTTTAAATGAGTGGCTCAACACATGACGAAAGTGGTCCCAGCTCGGACCCCGTGTGACACCAAAGGAATAACCCCAGCTCAAAGGGAAGGGGACATCCCATGTTCCCTGAAGCAAGACGACCATGGATACTCATGACTCTTAAAGGGAGAGCGAATTTCTAACCAGAACTCTTGAAACATGTTGAAACTTGACCAGGCTTCGCCCCCCTGCAAAAAGCTGACTTGGATATATGTCTTTTCATGAGGGTACCCCTTTTTGGTTGGTATCAAAAAGAACCCACAATGAAAACCACCATTTGGGGGGAGAGTTCCCCGAAAAGAGACACACCCGCGAATTTCTGGTTGAAAGAGCCAATGAAGGAATCCCCAGCTTGAACCAAACCGAACCTCCCGGTTCAAATGATCAAGCGTGGGACCTCAAGCCGTGCCCTAAATGGTTGCCGGGGCCGGCCCCTAAAAAAACAGCATGACGGCGTTCCTCTCGGTTCCCCTAGAAACCACAAAAAGGACACCCCCACTTAGAATAGGGGGCTTGCTGCAGGGCTTTTGGAATGCCGCTCTCAAAGGAACAAAAGACGATCGACCCGGATGGGCCCAACCCTTTGGTTCCCATGGGACGAATCTGCGTGGGGCGCCATGCCCCTCAGGCTCCGAATTCGTCACGGATTTGTTTGGTGAGCCTGGAACAAACGAGACGTGGAATGCAGCAGCACTGCATGCTCACATTTCAAGTGGGCATTTTGGGCAGAAATCTTTTGGCCGACTTCTGGACCTCAAATACAACCCAGGGCCCATGTTCCTGTTTGGGATAATTCCCTTGGTTGTTTGGGAAAAGAAATCACTGGGGATTCAAGACTTTCTTCCAAGCATTCTTGGCGCAGATGGCTGCGACGCGTCGTTCCCACATTCATTCGCTTTATTGCTGTGGCAACGCCACTAAGGGGTGTCCAACATACGTTTTGGGGAATGGGTCTATCTTGTCGAACATGTGTGGCGTCCTGTCTTGATTTCCCCCTCAAGACCGTCAAAAGCGAGTTTCCGAAACAACGCCACGGCGAATGCGGGCGCAAAAATGGCGCCACATCCCCCGCGTTGCCGCCGGGGCACGCGCGCACGCTCACTGCAGCCTCCTCGCCCAAGGTATCCTGCCCAGCCAAACACCGAAGCTGGAGCGGGCAAATGGTCTGAGCAAAATAGCACGGTGTTATCCGGAAATGTGCCTAAATGGGGTCAATACGTGGGTGTATTCCCAGGGCGTGATACCAAAATCCCCTTGCGTGACGGCCAAATGGGTGGTCAAAAATAGGGTAACCATTCGCTCTTTCATCACTTGCCCACCGCTCCGGGATCACGTTCAGTTGGCACCCCGAACCCCTGTGCTGGCACCCATGCACCAGCGCCCCAAAAATCATGACCACCAGCACCCTGGTCTCGAAGTGGGAAGTCGCCTAGTCACAAAACGACTTCCTCACTGGGGCTTCTGGCCTTCCCACCCGCAAAGAGTGGTGTCAAAACCCAGCCTGGCAAATCAAGTCGAGAATCACGTCCGCCAACCACATTTGAGACAAAATCGCACTCCAAGCCCCAAACCCCCCAAACCCCCAAAACCCCCACGCCCACCGCCCACCCACCCTCACCCCCCCACCTCCCAAACCCCCACGCCCACCTCCCACCCCGCCCCCCCCCACCTCCCACCCACCCCACACACCCCACACCCCAACCCCCCCCAACCAGTCCGCGAGGTGCCGCCGCAGCTCGGAGACCACGTGATCAACGTTGCTCTCGTTCCCCGCGATGTCCACCCGCACCGTGAGGTTCCCTGGCCTCCGAAAAACCGGAAAAAAAAAACCTCCCCCGGGTCTCGGTTGCAGGACCAGCTGAATGCCTCGCAGGTTGCAAACCTGGCGCCCACCGCCAAGAAGGAAACGGTTTGAGAAAGGGAAACGGAAAAGGGAAGCCCGCAAATCGTGGGGTCCCAAAAAAGGCACCCACACCCGATAGGTTTGTGGCTTGGCGGAGTTGGTGTGTTGTTTTATTTCTCGGTTTTGATTCTTCCCAATCACCCTTCGAGACAAATGGCGGCAAGGGTCTTGCGATTTGTCGATGGCTTTCAAGAGGCGGCTCTGACTGCTGATTCCAAAAGACTGCTTGCAAGGGACAATCCTCACTTCCATGCACGTCCACCAAAGCGCTCTTCCCAAACTTCGGAAACGGCACGGGGGGCTGGGGGCTGAGGTTTTCTCGGTGGCGTGCTGGTTCAGCTTGGGTCAGCTGTTTTGAGGACAGACCAAAGGCGACTGCGGGCACCTCCCGCGCAACTTCCCGAAGTGCTGCAAAGATAAAGGCCACTTGCGTGCGGATGAGAACTCTGCAAGACGTCCGCCGGATGAACATAAGTGTTGGACACAGTTTGGACAGATTGGAGAGTTGGGCAAAGGCCACAGGCTAACCTCGCTTCTCCACCATTTTGGGCACACCGGTTCAGGACTACCCTGGCCCCTAATTTGGGCAACATGCAAGTAACAAAACTGACAACCAAGCCCACACAAGTACGAGACCCGGATTCGTGCTCAAGTGTCAATTCAACGATTCATCAAGGGCAAAAAAACACCGTCCCCCCTACCATTCGACGCGTCTCAAGGTCAACTTCCCCCTTCACACCCCACACCTCAACAAGCTTCGCCCCAACAAAAAAAACGGCAGATGTCTGGCGTTGGAAGCTAGACCCCAGCAACTCGGACGACAGGGAAATGGCCACTCCCCCCCCAAAACGACCCGAGGTGCCCGGTGTGCACGGTCTGCACCAGGGAGAACCTGCGCGGCGCCTTTCTTTTTGGTTTCCGAAGCCATTGGAGGAACCAAGACACACCGGAAAGTCCCTTGAAGGAAAGTCTCGCACACCAAATCTTCCTAAGAACTTTGCTCTGACTGGCCTGTCTTTGATAAGGCGCCTCGTGCTGGCAACTTGGGATCCCACTGAAACATGGCAAGGTGGTAGGGCATGCAAGAGGGCGGCAACCCGGTGCCTGAAGCAGTGCCTTCCGAGTAAGACCATCCTGTGGGGAGCCCACGTTTCTCAAGGTGACATTTCAATTTGCACCAGAAAGACAACAGCTTCCCTCCCAGCCACATACAACACAAAGATCCCTGGAGAAACGGTAGGGAGCGTAGCACCAAACAAATCAATACACGAAAGAATGGGTCATGGCAGCGGCAGTGATTGTCATGGTCATGCCAGTGATGGCTGTACTTCCCATGAAAGAGATCCAATGTGGGCATGCTTAGAAACGAGTCAGATTCCGTTTGATGGGAAAGGAAACCAGCAAACCATCCGGAAAAGCCGCTACAGTAGAATCAAGAGAAAGCACTCGGTCCCAATGCTTGGTTTTCCCTTGAAACCAGCAACCCCATGTGGAAGCGTGCCCTATTTGTTCAAAGAGTCTCTCACGGTTCAACTTCAAGGTCCCGGAGCAAAGCTCGTAGTTGTCGAGCTTTGCCTCATACCATTACCCCCCCCCCTCAGCCATAAAAGCGGAATCCACTGTTAGAATTCCCAGATAGGGCTTGAGCCCCTTGGTCAACTGACCCCAGCCTCTGGTATGTTAGCAAAAACTTTGCTCCCTTCAAACCCTCAAACATGAGCAGGAGCAAAAAATACAAGCACACGCGCACAAGCAAGCAAACACACACACACACACACACCTATCACTATCACTATCACTATCACTCTCACACACACACACACACACACACAACAAGAACATTAAAGTCAAGCTCAAGTTCCCCCATGTCGTACATTATTACAAGGGGGTTGGGAAGTTTCCCAGTGGTGCCCGATCTTAACCCCAGATTCATAGGAGGCAATATTAACACGGAACCTGACAAGGGGTTCCTGGCTTGAAGTTTGGACCATTGTCCGTTTGAAGGGACCCTGTTAGGTTCCATGCTAAAAACGAGCAAAATCGCTGCTAGGCCAGGTGTGACCGTCCCACGCCTTCCGTTGGAGATGTTCAGGCCGCCTCGGTTCCGAGAAGTGGTGTCAGTCAACTGGAGTGCTTGTTGAGGATTTCCCCAAAAAACCGAGGGCTGAAAACCAAGCATTGAAGGGTCGGCGGAGGTTTCCTCCCGGAAATACTCAAGGTTGTAGAAGACCAAACGTTGAATGATTCGGCCATATCCAGTTCCGCGACCTCCCACGAATCGAGACTTTCGGTCGACTCAGGCCACTTCCTCCAAGACCCAGCTGGAGAGTCCACCGTTGAGGCTGCCACAAGCCTAGTTTCTCCGGTTTCACCACGCAAAACGGGTCCCCTCAAAAAAAAAACAAAACATATTGGCCGATGAGTTGGCTGCGACTTTGGGGTGATGCCTCTCTTTGCCAAGCAGAGCCAAGCAAAAACGGTCGACAAACACCTGACGTTCGAAGATGAGACGTGGGTTTACGCCAGGCGGCGCAGCCGCCGGGGGCCCGCCTGGCACGGAAGCAGCTGGTGAAGAACCATCAGCATGGCTTTGTCCAAGGCAAACACTTGACATGCAGAGCTTTCCTTTCACAATCCCGGGTATCCTTGAGGTGGCATTGGATTCTTGAAGCTTGACTTGCTTCAAGGAGAAGATTGCAATGACTGCGACATGCAAGAGTGCTAACAAAAGATGACACGGACATTTCAATGAAGCGGCAATGCAATGCAGTCACGGGATCCTGTGCAAGTCCTCAATGCGGGCAGTATGCAATCAAAGCTGTGATAGGTACGGGCAACGGTTCACATTTCACGTGCATGACCGCAAAAATCAAGTTTGGTATCAAAACTAGGGGTCGAACCGTGCGAGTTTTGGGCTTCCGCTTCCCTTTCTGAAGCGTGCGTCCTTTTTGAGGGTACGCCTTTTTGTGTGAGGCACACGGAAAACCACCCTTTCGAGGGGTCCATGACCAAGACGCACCCAAGCCTTGAACATTTTCGAGATGCGTTTCGCCTTGCAAAACCCTCTTGATGGGACTGAAAGCACCCTCCGAAGCCAAAACAAAATGGAGCCTCCTGATTTGAATAAGGGAAACCAAAGGAAACTAAGGAAATGGAGCAACCAAAAGGACACCAGTCTTACAGTAGGGGGACATTGAGAAACACCCACACCCACTTGGCCCAACCGGTCCTGCTCACGTGCCGCTGTGATCAGCGCCGGCTTGGGCTCTCCTTCGGAAAAACTGGGACAGCACTGCTCGAGAACACGCACCAAGTCGACTGAAACAAATACTTTCGTGCTTCAGGCCGCCCGTTCTAGGGGGGAACAACCCGGCAACTGCACTTCGGGACCAACCCGCAAAACATATCAGCAACCGAAGCAACTGCTTCGGCCTTCCCGACCGAAAGTGATGCTTTGGCTCCATTTCACAGTGGCGAACCAGGCTGATCGCCTCTCCGGAGTGCCATCAAAACCAGAAATATCATATTCCGTCAGCATGTTTGGGTCTGTCTCAAAGCATTAGAAACCCCAACAACATCTTGCTTCCTGTTGGCTTCCGTTTCAAATCCTATCCCCCTCAAACAAACACATCACGGCACCTAAAAAAAAGAGAGGGCCCTCCCCCCTTTTATGGGACCACCAGCTGCGAGTAACTGATTCACTCGGTCCCGCCTTGGCCAGGCGCCTGGCACCGGCGCCAGGAAAAGACAGGGATACGCCTTGTGCTAGCAAAACGGCACAAGGAGAGGCGTTTATATATATATATAATAGCGCGGATGTCACCGCTTGTTCTTGCCCCTGCAGGTTCTTTTTAGCCTAAACCCCACCTACCTTAGCCTCACAAACCCTGCCTACCTTAGCCTAATAAACCCTACCTAATAGTACTCTTTTGTCATATCCTACAGGGGTGGTTCCACAAAAGCCACATCCAAGCCGTTTTCTGGCGTTGTTTATAAAATTGGTTGGATCTGACAATTGGCTGGTGGCTCTCTTTTTTTGTGCGGGGGATCTGAGAATTGGGTGGATATGATATTTTTTGTTCTCTCTCTCTCTCTCTCGCTCTGATGAGTCTTAAGGTCTGAAAAGAAGGATCCCTAGAAAGAATCTGGGCTGTTCAAAATGAAGGGTTGGCCAATCCCAATCCATAGTCCCCACCAAGGGAAGCGGGGCCCATTGTGCAACGCAAGGAAAGGAATAAGGATTACCTTTGAACCAGAGCATGCGAATAGGGGACATTACAGCGCTGACATGGGCATGGGTGAACGGATGCAGGGCACCTGGGTCGCCCTAGAAAGGCTCGTCTTCGAGGGAGAAATGATTTGGACCCATGTGCGGCTGAAAGTTGTTTGCCTCTCCCTCCATCACCCTCGCCCCACATAAACACGCCCAAAACATCGAATTGCCCCATCCGAACTCCCTTCCCTCCCCGCCTGCCGTGATTCGGCGACCAAAGCCGGCACTTTGGTGAGGTTCGAGAAGTTGAGGTCCTGCGTTCAAAAATACAAAGTAGACTAAGTTCAGGTGCCCTCCCATTGGTGGTTTTTGGAGGTGTTCTAAATGGGGGTGGTTTCCCAATTACTGTCAAAACGAATCAGAGGTTGGCCAAATGGCAGCGTTGTTTCCTGGTGCAAAGCTAATGTTAGCCATGATCTCTCACAATGATTTCAAAGAGTCGATCTTTCACTCCGCCCCACAAGAAGTGCGGCCCCCTAGCGTTGCCTGGCCCTTTCGGGACCAGACCGGCGGTTCTTAGGCTTTCCCATCTTGACACACACAAACCGGATCGGAAGCCGGCAACGAAACAGCACTGAGTCACTTCACCTAAGGCAGCTCACAGGGGCTCTTGAAAGGGTCATGTAGGACTGTCGACTGAGCCCTCAAGCAAGTTTGCTTGACCTTGGTCGTTTTCAAAAACCCAGAAGAGGGGAAGCGTCCCAAATTCAGGATCGCATGTTTGGCTGCCCATCAAAGGAAGGACAAAAAATTGAAACCCACCACGTAGTTCCCCCCCCAAACAAAAACAGATCAAAAGCAGTCCAAACAAGATTGCAAACTGGTTGGCCTCGTCTTGGGCTTCCATTATTCCCATTTCGAATGCGCGAGTTGACTAGCACTGCGGGTGGACAAGATCCTGCGCCAGTTGCTAGTGGCTCATCCAACTTATCCAAGTATTCCTCAGATGCCCAGTGGCCATGGGAAAAAAAGAGCGTCCTTTTTTGTTGGTTGAGCTTAAAGGAGAACCCTTCCCAAAAAAAATGAAAAACGGGCGCCACTGGGCAAAAAACTGGGATTCATGGCTTTCTGGTACAGTAGGTTAACTTTGACCCATACCCGAATCTATCCCAAGTGGATTTGTCCACCCCGGCCTTGGGCTCCAGCTGAGTCCAGCCCCCGGTGTCCGCCTGAAGCTTCCGAGCCTCCTTGCGCGGAGAACGGCAGCTGGGTGTTTGGCCAATTCAATAGGGAAGCACCTCACAAGTACTGGCCTCATGATTTTACCATGGTCAAAGTTACCCCTGACTTTGATAACCCCCAGATACCCTCAAAATATTGACCCCAGAAGTAATAGGAATTCATGGAACCATGGGATCCAGAGCGTTTGTTGGTAGCCATAGGGGAATCATCAGAACCTGGGTTTCTGAACGGTGCGGCGAAATGGATTTTTTCCAGTCGCAGTGGGGAACCTCACATGCCATTGGTGGACATGAATCCTCCTAAATGCCCACAGGGTCCCCAACTTTAAGCTCATTCTCCCATCAGGCTATTCAGTGTCTGCAGCCAGCAAGGCATGCCCGGGTGTTTTCCATGACCGCGGAGTGGGTGGGATCAAAGCCGATGCGAGGGCGGCTGCGAGTTTGAAACGTTTGTCGCACGAAGCGACTGTCAATCCTTAGTAGCGCAATCACACGGGCAAACTCTGAGCTCTGGAGAAGGGAAGGCTCTTCCCTCTCTCTGACTGCCTTGACACGAGTACAATGGCCATTGATGCCATATGCATGGACCAAGGTGATGCCCGAACAGCCGACGCTGCTTGCAGCTGCGAAGGTCAGTCAGTTGTTGCAAGCCAGCTCAGAAGCGGGGCCTTACAAGACTTCTAAGAGTCAGCGGTATTCCTCACTGGCAATTCTGGCAATTCTAGAAGGAATTCCCATAGCCACACTAACCACGTGGCCCATCTGCCAGACCGGTCCACGCATTAATGGAAGCAATCTTGTCCTTGGTCTGTTTTGAGGTACACGTCTTTGATTTGAGGTTTGCATGCACTCTGGGAAGGAACCCTCCTAGTCTGGAACTATTCTCATCTCAGGGGATCCTTCTAAATCTCCAAATGCCTGCCCTGGTTTCGTAGGAAAACCAGGGGGTCACCGGATTTCCCTTCAAAAGGTTGCGATTTGCAAGCTGCGACTTGTAGAGGTTCCAAAAAGGGAAATGGAGGAAACCCTGCAAACACGGCCCAAGAGTAGCAATCGCGACATCCCCATGTGCCAAAGCAATCAGTAGGCAAAGCATCAGCCATAAACCACCAGAGACATTTGTGCCCAAACAAACTGGGGGGGCCGTTCACAAATCTTCATATACGCATGGTTCATGTTTGGTGAAGAACCCTTCAAACTCCGGCCCAAACTCCAAACCCTCACCATTTGCCATTCGTCAGCTCTCTCATCCACTTGCGAGAATCCCTGGAACCAGCCGAGCAGTTCGTCACCAGCGACCCCGCCCGCACCAATCCGCCGGCTCCTGGCGCAAGTCCCACAAACTCCCCAGGGTGCGGTTGCAGAGGTCCCGGAGCCCACGGTCCAAGCGGCTCCTCATCCTCAGCCAGGCACTCCGACGAGACAAGTCGTTTTGCTTGGCTGGAATTAGGACCCCCAACAAAGCAAAAAATAAAGGAAGAAGAGGAGCTAAGTCTACAGTTTGCAGATTGGAAACACCTTCTAAGAAAATTATGATCCCTTCTGATTTCCTGACTTCTAGCCCCTGCCTCCCCCCAAAAAAACAAACAAACAAACAAAAAAGAAACATATGGAACGTCCTCAAAAAGTACTTGGACCAAACCGACACTCGCATGGAATACTCGAGTCCCCAAACCCCGAAATTGCATCCAGCCCCAACAATAGACCATTAAAGCAGCGAACAATTCCAGCAGTTTCTCGCATGGGTATTTAAAAAACTATGCGGAACCTTGTGGTGAACATCAAAAAAGTGGGGGGTCATGCCAACCAGTGGGCGTGACTCGAATGAACTCTTCAACATCAGATCGCATTGGAATCAAACTAAATGGCTGCGTTGCAAAACAAGGTTCCAAAACATGGGGGGAACCCCCTGAAAAAATGCGAACATATCCAGCGGCCGTTACTTCCCTTCAAACAAACCAAACAACAAAGACGGCAGCCTCAAAACCACCGAGACACCTGCACGCCTCAGTCTCACCATCCTTGGCCGAGGGGCTTCAGCCGCTGGTCCTCTGCCTCCTTGCGCACCTTGCCCACCTCCTGGGCCGATGGCAACTTCCGCCGGGACCCCAGGGTCAGAGGCTCAGAGAGGTTTCGGCCCTTGGCTCTCCGCTTGCGGACCCCCCGACGTGGCGCGAGTGTTTTAAAGACGCGGAGACGCGGACCGGCCCCGCCCGAGTTTCGGGCGGCTCCCTTCGGCTCGGAAGTTTGACCCCTGGCCCCAAAGGCCCAGGTGCCCTTCGGGTCGCCGGCGAGCGGCACACGACACAAACAAAGTCGCCGGGGAGGTCCACCAACAAAAGGGGGGTGTCTTTTTGGAGGACCCACCCAGAGGAGGGGGTCAACGGGAAGCCAAAAGGAAACCGACCAATTTGGAACCCAAGGCAAACCCGTGATTCCCTAGATCTTCGCATTTCCCTGAAGTTGCGGAACGTGAGTACCAGACGGCTCAATGCAAACCGATTGTGCCAAGTTCAAAACAAAGAAACTCACCAAATGTGGAGCATCTTTTCTCCACCGGGTCGAAGCGGGGCCGGCAAACCCCTGGAACCCAATTGTTAATCATCCAGCTCGGAAGAGTGACATGTGACCTGCTCCCGGAACTTGCCCTACCCTTCGCGTGCCAGGGCTCCTTCCAATTTCGTCAACTTGAGGGTGGCAACCAGGCGACCAGAGTTCGAGCGGGGTAGCGTTCCCTCCAACCCTATTCCTCAACCATGGGTTTACTCATCTGGGGTGCCCATGAATCATGAAGACAAGGACAAAGAAAATTCCACGTTCACTGTTTGTTCCGCATGGTCCTCCAAAAGGGGCGCAATTGCACCTCCATAGCAGCAGCGTGCTCCCGTTTGCGCTCCCGAAATAAGGGTGCCCTCATTCAAAAAAAAACTGGCACGCCCATGTTTGCAGGGTAAGGACAACACGGGGCAGCCACACTGCCGCCAAGCTGCAGTCTCCACCAGCGTCGACAGCACCGTGGAAAGGTTCTGGTCCGCCGCCTCCCCAAGGCTTCGAATCGCGCTTCTTAAGTGGGTCCCAAAAGGACACTCTGAAGGACATCGTTTAGTACCATTTTGCACACAGCAAGGGTCCCAACTGGATACATGCTCGGGTGCCAGTGATCGATCTCCGGAAAAGATGAGACCTGCAACGGTTGCCATCCTTTCTTAATTCCCAGTGGTTCTCTCCATGTGATTTGGGTTCACCGGCACAAACCGAGAGGGGAACATTCTGCAAGGAACCCTCATGGGGCACGCGCTCCCGGCACACGCATGACATAAATGTAGGCCACCCCGAAACTCAAACGCCGTCGTCATCACCCTTTTGGAACTCGGCCCATGGGTTCGAAGGGATAGCCTGGCACCAGGTGAAACCACCAGGATGCTCTTTTGGACATGTGTGTGTATATATGCATGTGTGTATGTATGCATGCCTGCATGCATGTATGTATGCATGCATGCAAGCACGCATGCATGCATGCATGCATGCATGTATGCATGCATGCATGAATGCATGCATGTATGTATGTATGTATGTGCGCGTGTGTATGCATGCATGCATGCATGCATGTATGCATGCATGCATGAATGCATGCATGTATGTATGTATGTATGTGCGCGTGTGTATGCATGCATTCATGCATGCATGTATGCATGCATGCATGAATGCATGCATGTATGTATGTATGTATGTGCGCGTGTGTATGCATGCATGCATGCATGCATGCATGCATGCATGCATGCATGAATGCATGCATGCATGTATGTATGTATGTGCGCGTGTGTATGCATGCATTCATGCATGCATGTATGCATGCATGCATGAATGCATGCATGTATGTATGTATGTATGTATGTGCGCGTGTGTATGCATGCATTCATGTATGTATGTATGTATGCATGTATATATGTATGTATGCATACATGCACGCATGCATGTATGTATGTATGTATGTATCCGTGTATGTATGCATGCATGCATGTATGTATGTATGCATGCATGTACGTATGTATGTATGCATGTATGCATGCATGTATCTATGTATGTATGCATGTATGTATGTATGCACGTACGTATGTATGAATGGATGCATGCATGTATGCATGCATGCATGCATGCATGCATGTATGCTTGTATGTATGTATGTATGTATGTATGCATGTGTGTATGTACGCATGCATGTATATATGTATGCATGCATGCATGTGCGTATGCATGCATGCATGTATGTATGCATGTATGCATGCATGTATGTCTGTATGCATGCATGTATGTATGTAAGCATGCATGTATGTATGTATGCAGGTATGTATGCATGTATGCATGCATGTATGTGTGTACGTATGTACGTAGGTATGTATGTATGCATGCATGTATGTACGTATGTATGTATGTATGTATGTATGCATGCATGTACGTATGTATGTACGTATGTATGCATGCATGTATGTATGCATGCATGCATGTATGCACGCATGTTTGTATGTATGAATGCATGTACGGATGCATGCATGCATGTATGTATGTATGTACGTTTGTATGTATGTACGTACATACGTATGTATGTACGTACGTACGTATGTATGTATGTATATGTGTACGTATGTATGCATGTATGTATGTATGCATGCATGCATGCATGTGTGTATGTATGTATCTTTACATGCATGCATGCATGCATGTATGTATGTATGTATGTATGTATGTATGTATATGAGTACGTATGTATGTATGTATGTATGCGTGTATGTATGTATGTATATATGTATGTATGTCTGTACGTATGTACGTATGTATGTATGTGTGTATGTATGTATGTGTGTACGTGTGTATGTATGTATGTATGTATGTATGTATGTATGTATGTATGTATGTATGTATGTATGTATGTATGTATGTATGTATGTATGTATGTATGTATGTATGTATGTATGTATGTATGTATGTATGTATGTATGTATGTATGTATGTGTATGTATGCATGTATGTATGTATGCATACATGCACGCATGCATGTATGTATGTATGTGTGTGTGTATGTATGCATGCATGCATGCATGCATGCATGCATGCATGTATGTATGTATGTATGTATGTATGCATGCATGTATGCATGTATGTATGCATGTATGCATGCATGTATCTATGTATGTATGCATGTATGTATGTATGCAGGTACGTATGTATGAATGGATGCATGCATGCATGCATGCATGTATGCTTGTATGTATGTATGTATGCATGTATGTATGCATGTATGTATGTATGTCTGTCTGTCTGTCTGTCTGTCTGTCTGTCTGTCTGTCTGTATGTATGTATGTATGTATGTATGTATGTATGTGTGTGTGTGTGTCTGTGTGTATGCTTTGGCTTCTCTTTGAAACCACCAAAGGGCTAGCCTCAAAACCAACAGACCCACATACCCCCGGCCCATGACCTGCTGGAGCATCTGCGTGAAGTTCATCTGAGATACCTCAGATGCAAAAATTATGTGGACCAAATCCACTTTGGGGCGGATTCAACGGGTCCCAGTGCTGGCGACCATCAACTGGTGGATTCCTTGTCCATCTACAGTATTTGTTCTCTTTTTACACCAGTGCGAAGAATAAATTGTGTGATGAATTCACTGGTGACTTCACCGCTTCACTGTTGTGCCCCCTTGTGCAAACAACGTCCCAATTTCGGCTTTTGCAGTGCGGACGCCAATTTCAACCATGAGTGTGTCTCACAAGTCGGGACCCCACAAATATGGGTTTGCCTCTTTTTGAGGGCGACTTTACCAAGAAAGCAACAGGAAGATCGCCTTTTGTGGGGCTCTGGTACAAAGACAACATAGCCTCCTGTTGTTGCCTTTAAAGCCAAGCGAAAGGGGGTTCCGCACGTCTGACCTGGGCTCTCGGAAAACAGGTGCAAACACTCCGTGAGCACGGAAACCTGCAAATCTCCCTCGTATTCTCCTTTTGCTTGACTTGCTGGGTCCCAAAACTTGCTGGTTCTCAGTAGGGAATGAGACCTATAAACCATCCCAAGTTGTCTTCCTTCAATGGAATCCCCTTCCTTGCCCAAATTCCCTACTGAGCACCAGCAAGAAAAAACAAAATGCGGTCCGTTTCAAACCATCCTAAAGGACATCAGTCGATCCGCGTCGATTTCACCTCATGGCTGACTAAACTACCAGGTATACGGCACATAGCCGGCCGTGAGGTTTTCTCATGCACGTCAACGCCTCTGCGCTCATGCGCTGTAAATTCCACGGGGGAAACGTGTTTTCCTGAGACACACCCTTCTGCGCCGCAATTACAAGCAGTTTCACATGCAAACCTATGTTTCGTCCCACGAGCGCCACGTTTCTCAAGAGTTCGAGGACTGTTTCGCAATGGGGTGCAACTACTTGCAAAGACACAGCGAACACCATGTTGCATGCCGAGAGCCTTCGGGTTACCGTCCTTGCTGAGCATCATGTCACCGTGCTTGTCACAGAAAGGGTAGCCCCAAAAAGGAAAACCCTCTGCAAACGTCGATGTGTGGTCGCTTGGTGTCATGTGAATGTATTGAACACCTCCACTTTGCCCTCATGACACTGGCAAGGACCCCATGTTCAAGATCGACATCCTGATAGGCCACATAATGTTTATTGACACATATACATATATATATATATATATACACATACATGTGTTTATATACCAATTCCTGCAAGGGGTTCCTTTTGCTACTTGTGTGAACCCTCTGCACAACAGAAAATGCCCCTCCACTTTCAAAAAGCAAAACATAGTCCAAATGCATCGAGACACGGCAACGAACATATTTACATGCCCCCTCCCCCCCCCCCGGCACCTCCCATCCCCCCCCCCAACCACCCAATCAGCTGAAAATCCCACGGGCGTCTATGTGCCGTGGACCAACTACCAACGACACGAAGTACGCCGAAGAATTAAAACTGATCTGGCCCTCCCAAAATGTGGCTGTCACTTTTTATTGCACGTTGACACGGCAAGCTACTTAAGCATGGTCAGCTGGATGAGATAGAATCGCAAATGGGTACAACAAACAGTACGGTGATTCAACTCGTCTGGGGGGGAGGGCACTAGTGATTCATATCCAAGAAGCCCTTCCTCGCACCGCCATCACGTTCGCATCCAGCTCCTTCTGCGCCTCTACCAGCGCCTGAATGGGAGAATGCTTGGTCATGATCCCTCTCCTGCAGACCAAACTCCGCTCAACTGATTCAGACACGTGGGCCTATAAACGGCCCACCGACATCCACAAGCACCAGAAGGAGAGGTCCCATGTTCCTGGCAGGAGGAGAAAGAAAAAAAAGCATCCCCGAACCTTCCAGTTGAAATGTCAATTATTTGAATAGGCAACCCAGGAAAGCCATCCAATGTTGCGGGGCTCCTGCTGAGGTGCGGAGAAAATTGGGGTGGCCCTTTCCCAATCCTAAACCAATCGCGACGGGGCCCGTCCTGAAATCGGGGATGGCCCCTTAAAACGATTTTGGCGTCCCCTTTTCAAGGGGTGTCCTTTTCCAGTTTGAGACGCATCCAAAAAGGCTCACTGTTCTCCCTGCTCAACCAACCCCTGTACCCATGCAAAGAAAGGCATGCCGTTTAGGAGGTCTGGCAATTTCTAACCCATCCCACACTGCCCCCTTTTGGTATAAACGGAGAACCAGAAAGTAGTGGTTGCGAACTGCAAGACATCCCATGGATAAAACGACTGTTCTTCCTGAAAGGTGTCCACCTGGTTTCCCCTCCAACCAATTCCATCCGGGTGTGCGTCGAAATAGGGATTTGGAGCAGCCTTCCTTTTGGCGTCCCTTTGTAAACACCTCAAAATAGGCACTGGGCCTCAAAGAAACGCATGCAGGCTGGGGAGCATCAAGGCATAGCAGCCATACGGTCCCAGCAAGTCTGGTCAGGTCAAACAATGGACTGAAATGTGGCCAGCATTCGAAACCCACAACACGCATTTGGACCGGTCACGCAGATCTTGTTGGCATCCAACTCCCACAACATCAAAGCAGCAAATAATGTCGACCCCGGCTAAACAAACCCATCCTACCAATAAAGGTTCCCTCGAAAACTATTGAGCCCCAAAAAAGAAAGTCCTCGATCAAAATCAAGGAGAAGTTCTGCGTAATCTGTTCCCGTTCTGAGGTTACTACCCTGGCCAAACAGCTCGTCCCCTGGGTGTTTACCTCCTGTAAGTATACATGCTAATAGTTTACTCCTATCATCATGACTAAACTTGGTTTAAAAGCACCCCAAAGGCCCCTATTCTACTCTCCTGCCAACTAACATGGAACCCAGAAAACACCCATTTGCAGGGGACTCTCTGCTTGGGAAATAGACCCACGTTTTAGGTTCCATGTTCATTAAAAAATTGATTGCTTAAACTGGCTCCATGGTTCTGCCAGGATCAAAGTTATCCAAGCGCTAGGGAAACCCCCAACCTGTTGACTTTGTCCCGTCGCCTCCTCCTTGAGCCGCTGCACCGTCGGCAAGGCGCTGCTCCGCTTCTGCAGCTCCCGGTCTAGCGCCTAGGCCGAGCACCCGGTCTCTAGGCTGCTCACGGCTCGGGGGCGACCAACCTACGGAAAATGTGTATTTTAAGGGTGGGGTGTGTGTGTGTGTGTTCATACATATTTATATATATATGTATGTGGTACCCCCCCTGGAATACTCAGGCTTTTGGCCAAAAAATGACATGTTGGCTGTAAAATGCATGCATGCAATCCAGGATGCGCTAGCACATGCTAGCACATCCTGGATTGAAGATTGAGACAATTCTTTCTGGGAATCTTCAATTCTTTACGTAGGGCAATCCAGGGTGCGCATGTGCTAGCACGTGCTAGCACGTCCTGGATTGAAGATTGATTTGAAGTTTCTCTGACAACTCTCTCTGGGATTCTTCAATCTTCAGTCTTCAATCCAGAACGTGCCAGCACGTGCTAGCACATTTTACTTTGTCCTAAGGATGGATTGAAGATTTCCGAAACAAGTGGTCTGAGAATCTTCAATCTTCAATCTCGTGCTAGCACATCCTGGATTGCCCCAGAAAGAGTTGCTAGAGAATCTTCAATCTTCAATCCAGATCCCGGACTGCCCTAAGTGCGGATTTGAAGAATCCAAAACGCAGACCGGGAGCGCACGTTGTCAGAATCAAAGTGTGGATGTGCACTTGCACTGCCTGCATTTGGCCAGGGGGAAAAATGTTGTTGACACCTTTACAGGTTTTCTGCGGACTTGAGGGCTGGCCAGGATGGAAGATTCTCAGATACAAAATCTGGGATCAAAACTTGAAAAAACGAAAAACCCGAAAAACACGAAACCAAAAAACAAACTAAAAGAACACGAAAATTCTAAAAACGTGAAAATTCAGAAAGCATGAAAATTGGAAAAACACAAGAATGTGAAAACACAGCTTGCGCGAAAAAATGTGAAAACTCGAAAATTCGAAGCTTTCCAAGTTTTTGCTTAGTAAGGATATGTTGTGGAATCTTGTATATTCGATCTTCGGGCCAGAGCAACACGATCTCAGCAAATGCTGAAAAACACTGCGTTGGCTTGGCTCAGTTCTTGCTTGGTTCAAACCACATGGAGTTCGATAAGGACAATAACCCTTTCAAAATTGAGTTTGATTCCAAGTTCATTTGGCCATGACAATAGATTCCTTCTCCAGTTGGTTGTTGAAATGCACAAGAAAATGCAAACGATTAAAATTGAATTTGGTTTGAACTCGAAAGCGTTTTAAATTGGATATCCTCCCTTTGCTTGAATTTCAATAGTTGTTATTGGCGATGTTTGAATCAACTTAGACAAGCAACACACAGCTGCGATAGTTGCTTTCCAAAATATGCGTCAAATAGACTGAACTAGCATGTACATGGAATTATGCACAACACTTGAGTTAACATGTACATGCAACTGCGCAAGGACATGAAGTAGGAGTGAGTTCCTTTTCCCCAAGTTGATGATTTGCTGAATGTCGCTGCCAAACAGAAATGATAAAACCAAATATCAGAGCTGCTACACGCGCGTTGAAGCTGCCAAAGCATACTTCGCGCACTACTCTTGTGCTTAAAAGTTGTAACTTTAAGTGCACTTCGCGCATGCCAATGTGACGGTCACAACTCCTATTCAACGTTGAGCTTCACTTCTGCTTGGTTGGAATTTGCATGGAGTTGCGCATCCAGTCAGTTCATTTCCGAATCTCAAGGCATTTGTCCCAGTCTGGCCAAAAGTTGTGACATATGTATATTATATATATATATATATATATATTGTGTTATACATTTGTGAACCTAATGGTGTATATATATATATACATACAGATGTGTATGGGATCTTGATTTGGGGCACATAGCTCGTTGATGATGCAGCTGCATTGCTTCCAAAGGAAACGGGCCACTGCGCCTGGGTCTCCCTTTAACCACACCTATGCCCAAAGATGTACGTCTCTCTTCTGGGCGAGACCTGACAAAGCTGGCCACGCGCCCAAAGGTCTCCCATGCTGGTAAAGGCTTCCCCCTACAAACGACGCATGATTAAAAAACAAAAAAAAAGACCTACTCGCGGCCCGGCCCCCGTCCCCGGAAAACCGGCGCTCAAGGGCCCGGCATCCTGCGCAAGCTGGTCCGCCTCCGCCCAGCCCACCGCCAGGACCTCGGGCCGTGTGGGTCTCGCGAGTCAGCAAAAAAAAGCCAGCAGCTCCGTCTCGAGGAAGCTTTGCGCAACATGAGCTTCAAAAGCTGGCCCAAAAAATGGAGGGGTGTTCACCCAGGTTTTTTCCGGGCCTTGGGATGTTCGCCGTTGAGTTTGTGAGTTCAGATGAGAACCTTAGCCACTCTCAAGAGTGGTAGAGACAAACCTCCTGCTCCAAATACCCTGTTTGTTTGAACACCTGCTTTCATGAAGCACACCATGATCAAGCAGGCACAGGAGCAGGAATATAGTAACCCAGAAGTTACACATACAGAAAAGCCCTAGTAGCTCTATTGAGCCACGGACCAAAACCTTGTTAGTGAAGGTCCTTGAAGGACAGCCTCAGCCTCCGCCTTCTGTTTCTTTGCCCTGCGTCCAGGAGGGGGGGGTCCAAAAGAGAAGACCTCGAACTTGGGCGTTGGGATTCTGAGAGCTTTTTGCACGGGACCCATCAGGTTTCCGCCAGAGCGCGAGGGCAACCTAGAGCAGAATGAAAAGACCATGTTCAAGGAAATGTGGGACTTAATCCCAAAATAGAATGGAAAAAAAAATCACTGTCCCGACCGGTTGCTCACAGAAATCAAGCTGCCAAGTTGCAACGCCCATGTTTCTCAGGCTATATCGCTTCCTGAAAGTGACATAGTTTGGGATGGGTCCAGATTTCGGAGGCTCCAACGGCTGGAAAACCTGAGTGGCCTGCGGCCGCAACCGAGGACCGCCATGGTGGGATTCTCTCGTGTTTAGGCTCCATTAGGCAACAAAAGCAGCCCTTCCATTTGGTTTGAGGGAATCTCCGCCAGTAAGGCTGCTTGAAGCCTGACATGTTCATATCTCGGGTCTGGGCCTGATTCATATTGCATGTCACTCATTGAGGCCATCAGCTCGGCGTTTTGATTTCCATAGGTGCCCCTAACACGTTGGTTTCCACTTCCAACGTAACCCAAAAAGGTGGTCGGAAAGAAGAAAAAAATCAACTCCCATGGGTCCACCAAAAAAAAACGAAGAAACGATCCCCCGGCAAAGGACACAGTGGGTGCCTCAAAATGGGGGAACCCCCCTACAAATTTGCGGCATTTTTCTTTTGGCTCCAAACCCCAAAGTCGGTGGACGGGCTAAACCGCCACATCGGCCGAGCTGCGCAGCTGCCATTCACCTGGGCGCTCGCCTTCCCGAGGGCCTGGCGCCGGAGTCTCGGAAGGCATGTCCAACTGGACAAACAGAAACCTGCCACGGTGGCGTTTTTGGGAAAACGAGGACACCGTGCCTTCCAACTGGACAAACAGGCGTTGCGCGCCCATGGGAACCTGATGTCCGACTTGGGAAGTGGGACCTATGCGACCGGCGAGAGGGATAAGTCCGCAGCTGGCACAGCTTCCCCAACCGTCGACTTGGGTTCCTCTGCTTCTGGCTATCTATGGCTTCATACTAGCTGCTTCCTGCCATTTGGACCGAGGGGTCGGCCTCTGCCCAAAATGGCTGTCAGCCATACTCCTGAAATTGCCTGGCGATTCATATTGACCGGTCCAACTCAAGCTGACAAAGTTTTGAAATGGGTATGGCCACAATAAAGATCCCCTCTTTCCGGGACCATAAGAAAAGGATCTGGGAAATTCGGGTAGACACGGGTGTCTCTTTTTGTTGAGGCTCGGTGGGGCTTTTGTCCGGGAAACCAAAAAGAAACGACCACATTCGGGGGTGGTCCCCGATTCCATTCTGCGACATGCTCCCTTTGAACCAACCCAAAAATGGATTACCCTCAACACAAACCTGCCATTTTCTGGGGCTTCTCATTTTCTGGCCCAAGATCTTGCGCCACCAAAACGCCGGGTACCAACTCCAAAAGACGACGAGCCAAAAACCCCCCGATGCTTTCACCAAAGGCCTTGCCCAGCTGTACGCCGGTGTCGCGCTCGAAGCGCGCGAGTGGCTCGATGGCGGAGCAGTTGCCCCGTACCAGGCGCCTGGTTTGGAGGTGTTGTGGCTGAAGCCATCTACCCTCCCAAACCAATCCGTTTGGAGGTGTTCCAGAATTGTCGGATGTACCCTGCACCCAAATCAATCCAAAAAATCGATTTGGGTGCTAGCTGACTAGCTTGGGGGGACAAATCAAGACAGCTACCACGATTTCGGATATGTCCCACATCTGCCAAGAAACCCAAATCTAACAAAGCACCAGAACCAACAAAACATTATATATCAACAAAAAAGGGGAGGAAAAAAAGAAGAAGAAAAAAACTTTCTTGGACGAGCCCGAGTCAAGTTCCGAAAACCAAGAACAAAATAGAAACGTTGGATGCGCTTCCCTGCTGTCCATTAAAGCGCCACTCTCAAACATACCCCTGTTTTGCAATTTCTTAAATTAACGCAGACCTCCTGCTGCAAAAATGCTGAAAGATAAAAAGGAACCTCAGCTAAGAGCTAGTAGCGCGGACCAAAACAAACGTTGCACAGAAGTGAACTTCTTCGAAGTGGTTAGAACCAATCTGTTTGTGGGGCACAACCGTCTTCGGAATAAATCTAAAAATGCGCTTTTGGAACTGTTCTGTCTTGCGGAACGGGTTAATTCTGGACTCGCACATGCAAATCCAGCATCAACCACATTCTGGGGTCCCGCACAAAGATAGAATAGATTCTATCACGCACGGTCAGAAAAGGAATGCCTCCAAAAAGCATGTTTAGACTGACATGGCAGAATTGCCCGGACCTCGCACCCGAAGCTGTTCTCGGGATGCCTCGCTATCTCCGGGACCCCTTTTTGCACTTGGCTGTCCGCCTGGAAATTGTTCCTATCTTCCTGGCGATGTTAAGATATCGGCCCGGTCTCTCCTTCAAGGTTCCTGGTCTAAACCCCGAGAAAAACTCGAACCAACCTTGGCGCAGAAGGTGCTGTCTACACCGCCCCCAAAAACAAACATATCAGGACCCCTGACCAATGGGGGAAACTGTTACAAAAACCTATGGTCGTCGTTCGAATTTCCCAGATCATCCGGACAACGGCACGGTCCGTTCCCGCTGTCCGTCCGCGGCACGGCAGCACGCCGTTCAGCGCACCCGTCAACGACACATTCTGCGCCGCGAGGCACGCCCCGCCGGACGTGGCAGCGTCCGCGGCCCGTTGGAAGTCCTCGGGCGGAGAAAACCCGGCCACGTGTTCCGCGCGCGCGCGCGGAAGGAAAGTTCACCGGCAAAAGCGGAGTCCTGAGAATGTGACATCCTCAGGTTTAAAGGAAAACCACCTATTTAGAAAAAGAAATGCAAAAGGAGAGCCCCTCAAATGTTCACTCTAAGGAGCCCGGACTCCGCCCAACGGCAAAATCCCATCCCGTCGGTCAAACTTGCCGAGGGCTTTTTGGCACTTCTCGAGTCCTGGGTGGGCAACCCCCCGTTTTCCGAGATGAGTACCTCTTAGTTTGCCGCCTCACCCCTACGCAAAGGGAGCTCACGGCCAACCCAAAAGTGTGGCAAAATGGTTTCGGCGCGGAACATGGCGCAATGAGGATCTCTGAAGGTAGCACGGGAAGCCAAGCGGGTTTGTCTTTTAAATGAGGGCAAGTCCAACGAGTGGTTTCCTCATGGCTTACCTTTAAACTTCGCACCGTGAAAGTTCGAACCAACCCCGCGAAGGGTGCCCCTTACACACACATGGGATCAAGGCATCACCAGTTTGGCTCTCTCATAGTTCTGGTAGCTCCCTACAAAAGCGGGTCCCCTTGCAGGGCTACCCTCCCATCATGAAACCTGACTGCGGGGCTCCTGGAAGACCATTTTCCGTTTTCAATGGGCCCTCTGGTGGGTTCGGTTGCCGCACATATTTCTCTAGTTGCGACTGCCTCTAAGTTGAGCTTTTAGCCAGGTTCTGAAACTCAGGTTCCACCGACTCAGCCATGCAAGTCAATGCTTTTTGTGTGTCTGTGTTCCCCGCGCGTAAAACCCACCTTTTGATTAAGGACTTCAAATATGCATATCCACATCTACATCTACATCTACATCTAGACATATATATATATATATATAGTATGTACATGTATATATATATATAAGTAACCCCAGTAATCCCAGTCGCCATTCTATGACCCGCCTGAAGTAAAGAACATCCCTGGGCCAGGGCACAGCACTGATGCCGCGCTGGGCCTCCCGGAGCCTCGGTCAGGGAGGGCGACAGCTGGGGGGGGGGGTTGATGGACAGCTGGGGCGGGGGGAAGCGGGGGGCGTTCAGGGGGGGAAAAGGGAAGGGGGAAGGGGGAAAAGGGGTCCATTTTGCAACCTCCGTATTGGTGTTTTCGGCTTCTTGGCTGCAACATGTACTCTAGGTGTCCACGGCCCGGGAGGGGGAGGGCGGGGGGGAGGGGGGAGGGGAAAACAAGGAAACAAGGGAGCAAGAATCGGGGCTCAACTTTTCTGGACGGCAGTCCGATGTTCAGAAAATCGGCGTCCTTCTGCCCCCAATGGGCTCAAGAGTGGCTTTCGGTTTGAACCGGGAAAGTGGCACAGATCTTTTTATGCAGCGAATGGACTGGTCTCCAAGCCGGAAGATCACTCAAGACATCTTAACTCAGCCCCAGATGCAACCATCATATAGGTGAGGCCTGAGGTAGGATGGTCACTCTCCAGATCAGGGCAAGCTGTTCCGACATGGACTACCCGCGATCTTGAAACCAGCGATTCAGCGAACGACCCCCAACACCGCGCAGCACTCTGACCCAAGTACATGTTTACACGGTGCTTGAGATTGTCACTGCCACCGATAAAATGGTGTGCTTCCCCCTGAAAACAGTCCCAAAACAGTTGTACCAAGAAAGACTTGGCGGCCTGGGTCCTCCTAGTTGGTGCTTAGAATACTGCAGATTCCGCGGCTCGATCCTCTCGAACAAAAATGCCTTCAGCTTTGTGAGAAGGAAACGGTGTAAGGAACTCCGATGTCATCCAATGCATGATTGAGTGACTCACAATGCGGATGGCGATTGGTCATTTCCGGGTGACTGAGGAAATTTGAAACGCAGCTGCGAGATCGCGGGCACTGGAGGACCTCCGATTGCTTTCAAGACGATCGTCCATTGGAGGACTGTTCTGAGACGTGGCGCGCTGCGGCAAAGCCATCCGTCAGGTAGTCCTCCTGCGTCAAGCTTCCAATGTCCATGTTGTGAAACCACACATGTCACGTGGGCTACCCGGCGCCGCACAAGCAAGAAATGGCCGAAAAAGGAGCCAGTGCCGGAGCAAATTGGAGGCCGGAGCGTGACGGCTTTCCAGCAAGTGAGTGCCCACCCAACTGGTTGAAAGCTCGGCCAACATGGAGCTCTCTCAAGCTGGGCTCGAGATCCCAACGAAAGGCTTTCAGCCTTAAGAGAAGGGGCAAGAGGGCTAGCCCTGCGCTCTCCCAGCTGGGAAACAGTTAGCCCCAATGAACATGGTCCACTTTGAGACTTTGTGTTGTGTCGTCTATATCAAAGTCTCCCCAGGCAGCATGTTCGCAAGGGGTCCAAAGACTCACTGGCATTGATTACCCCAAAAACTCCGCAACACTGGCTGGCCAACCTGTCTAGCTGCAGCTTTCTAGCCTGGAGCCCTATCCAAGAAAGCACAGCAGAAACCACTCGCACCCCCTTTTACCCTAGACCCACCGACACCACTTGCAGCCAGTGTCAGCGAACAACATCGAATCCCCCCCCCCCCCCGGTCCGGCTGCAAGTCTTTCACATCGATGACCACCTGCACCGACACAGCTGTCGTCGTCGTCGTGGGTGTGGTGGTTGTGGCCGCGCCTTTGCAGAGAGGGTTGCGTATTTTTTCGGGGGGACCCCCAAAATGCCGATTTTCCTCTTGGCCTCCCTCGAAATCACACTGCAAAGCGCACCCTCAAAATTTAACACACACGCACACCTATGTTCCACCTGCTTCGCCTTCAGCAAGTCTAACTCCTCCAAATTACCTTCGTAACGACCTTCAGGATACAACTCTTCAACCTGGTTTCACAGGCCCAGCACTCCCTCCCGCCGAGCCCCACCTGCTTCACGAAGCCGTTTGGTCAAGAAGGCTTAGGCTTGTAACATTCTAGTTGAATATGGGTGAATACGGGCCTCCAAACGGAGTTTAACCATGCTTCCACGGTAAACATCACGGAACAAGCTTCGAAAACCTGCCCACATAGACCCAGCTCCAGCCGGAAGCCATTGACCCAAGGGGAAATGTTGGTCTTGACGTACAAAGTTGCGGCTTTGAAGTGATCCCTTACCTGCCGGACGCCTTTACAGAATCTGGTATTGAAGGGGCCACCCACATCAGTGTAAACGAACTAACTTTCATCTACCCAGGTTTGATGGCAGCTCCTGGTTGCTCAAATTGTCCGCTCATGTTTGTTGCACTGACCACATGTCTCCATCAAAACCTCATAGCCTTTTTTGGCCCCACCCGACAATGCGGAACTGTTCCCGCCTGCAGACTTCGCCTGGGCGGCGTTTGGAAAGCACAGGACTGGAAGCCTTCTGTTCGGGCTTCTGTGCGGACTCGGACCTCGGAACTCGGAACTTGCGGCGATTTGGCCACAAAAAGATTCGGCGACCTCGAGCTGCTTTTGAACCAACGATGCACATTGGCATGGGACCAGCATCGCGCTGGGTGTGTTCAGAGCTTGGCGAGGTGGAAGATCACCCTGCCACCACGAAGGCTCAGGCTGCAAACGCCACAGTTGGAGGTGGAGAAGGCAACAGCGCGGTCCATGACATTGACGTCCTGGTCCTCCGCGGGGTCGTCCGCAATACCCAGCAGCGCCTTCAGCAGCAGGTCGATCAAATGGGCGTGGACGACCAGCACCATGGACCCCTCCTGACTTCGCAGCCACTGCGCCAGGCGCCCACACCGCTGCCGCGCCTCCTGGTCGCTCTCCCAGCCGCCGGTGTACCAGGGCCCTCGCTCCGGAAGCGCGCCGACGTCGAAGCCTGGGAAACTCCGCGCGATCTCCGCGGCGGAGAGGCACTGGCCGGGCCCGGAGCGGCGCCCGTCGTGCTGCGTGTAGACGCCCCCAACCTCGAAGATCTCTGGGTGCACGACCGCGGCACTCGCCAGCGCCTTGGCCAGAGGCACCGCCGTCTGCAGCGTGCGCAGGAAAGGCGACACGTAGATGCGCGCATGGCGGAACTGCCTCAGGGAGCCGGCGAGCTCCTCCGCCTCCTCCACGCCTCGAGGCGTGAGCCCGGGGTCAGTGGCCCGCTCTCGCAGCCAGCGCTGCTCCGCCGCCTCGCGGCCTGCAGAGCCGGGCGCCTCGTGCAGAACCGGGGCGAAGATCTGGCGCATCAGCGGGTTGTTGGTGCTCTCACCATGGCGAACTAAGAGCAGATCCAGCGCCGGCATGGCTCGATGCTGGCCAAGGGTGAGTGGGACTCGAAAAATCGAGTCGAAAACATTAGCCCTCGGCTCAGTAGTGTCAAGGCACTGAGCCGAAAACCCCACAACCAAGACCTGGGCAGCCAGCCATCATTCTCTCGCTTGCACGTTTTGCCCCCGGCCAAAAACATGTCGACTTCGCTTTTTCAACAGAAACAAACCAGCCGCCCCTTCCCCCACCCCCCCTAAAAAGCACCGCAGCTCGAACCCGTGGACTCTTGCCCCACCAAGCCTCTGAGCCGTTCGCCTCGATGGTCTCGTTCCTCGCCCACCGCCAGCGTTGCGCGAAATCAGGGTGTGTCTTTTTCAAAGCCATGGGAAACAACACTTTCCGAAAGAGAACCAACCCTCCTGCGAAAATCATCCGAACAGTTCAGAAAGGGAGACCACTCAGGGAGGAAAAACAACTCCGCTCATCTATCCTCACCATTACGCATCAATCCACGCCCCTCAATTCAAGTCCGGTCTGGCAACAGTGGCTCCCTGCTGAATGCCAAACTCCTTCTGAAAAAGTGTGTACCTTTGTGGGGTGATGTTGAAGGGACACCAGTTGAAGGGACACCACGCAAAAAGAAGGGCCCATGGGCCTAAGCCATTTGAAGAGGCACCCAAATGAAACCTAGAAAGGCGCCCCAAACAAGCCACAAGTAAATGTAAGCCCACAAACAAGTTTCTCCATGGAAAACATGCGAGAGATCTTGTTTGAGTTGATCATAGAAGCTAGAAACACAATGGCTCACATGAACCCACTGCTTTCTGGCAAGGAGTGAAAGAAAGAGTTGGGTCGCCTGACAAATGTTTGGAATGTGTCAAAATCATGGACCCCCTCATCTTAGATGCTTAATCACAATAAAACCTGCAGCAAACCGCCGGGAAAAGCAACTCAAATCTCCAGCAAATCCAAACACCGGATCTGACACGAATGCAAAACCTATCTCCCCAAAAAAAAACACGGCACGTGTTGCCCACTTTAGCCCCTACCCATTCCGGCACAGCCCGAAAGGGTTTCTTGCGCGCCTGTCCGGGCCGGAGCTCCAAATAGAGCCCACCATGTCGGACACCGACTTGGCCGCCGCCACCGTGGCACCCGCCTCTGGAAGAACCCAATTCGAGCGCGCGCGCGCGCGCGCGCGCGCGCACTTGAACGGAGGGGGGGGCCCTTTTCTTGGTGGTTGGTTTGAAGGGAAACTGGAAGGAAAACCGTCATTTTGGGGGGGGGGGGGGGTCACACAACAAAACACACCCAATTGCCAACGACCCGGCTGGCTAAATCTAATCTCGTCTAGTGAGATCCAACCTAAACCAATCTAGTCTAATCAAATCGCTCTGTCTCTCTATCTTGTTCCCTCTTGCTCCCTATCTCTTCACGCCAAGAAGCAGCACCCACGATGCTCCCAATGCTCTGAGAGGCGTTGCTCGAGTTCTTGCTCCAGATCGCTTGCGCGGCTTTCGAGGCATCTGAGATGGAGCGGGCGGCATCCGTCACGTCCTTTACCTCAGGCCACATCGCGAGACAGATCGCAGGAAGGTGGGAAACGGTAGCAAAAGGTAGCAAGGGGTGGGGGCGGAAGGTAGGGGGGAGGTAGGAAAGGGTAGGAAAAGGTAGGAAAAGCCGGGAAAAGCTAGGAAAAGGTGGGAAAAGGTGTGAAAAAAGGGAAGGAAGGAAAAGGAGGCTCCCAAACCCAAGTCGGGAATGAGGGCCGCTTCGATGTCGGGTTGGGAACGCTCGATGAATGTCCGATTCTGGTGGCTTCCGAAGGCAAGGCTTCCCTCAAGCTGAGGCAATGCTCTTCCAAGCGACTGTCCCCAAAAGTGTCGTTTTGGGAAAACCGATGGCCCTGGAAGGTTATGAAACAAAGTCAACCAGGAATCGCCATCTATGTTCTGCCAAAACAACCAAAAAGGACACCTATGACTGTCCCCAAAAGTGTCGAGGATAGGGAGAGAGTCCAAGCGGCCAACCCCCGCATCATTTTAGGGTCCCAGCCGCTTCTGCGGGCTGGGTGTCGTTAAGGACCTTCAAGATGTCGGTGGCGTTCACCTCGCCCTCCTTCAAGGCGAGCATTTCGGGTGTGCCAGTCTTTTTTTGTTGTGTTTTGTTTTGTGTTGTTTCTTTGAAACAAATAGAAATGTGTCTAGCTATTTTTGTTTCTCCGGGCTCACCTCCCAAAAAAATGTCAGTTCCTAGGCCTCGCCTAGGAACTCGGACGCCTTGTTGAAACACGAAGGAACCATTTGTGGGGGCAGGGGAGATCTTGTGTTCGCAATTGAAAGAGGCAGGTACTCTGGCTAACATGGAACCAAACCGACGTATTTAGAGGAATCGCCTTATTGGGGAAATGGACCCCTTTGGATTCCCTTGCGTGAACTTGCAGACAGGGATCCTTACATTATACACCATCACCCTTTTTGTTGGCGGAAAAAAAGCCATGTTTCAAATGGTTGCAAAATGTATCTCTCAAGGAGTCCTGGTGAATTTGCAGAAAAATCCTTTAAACCACCGAAGGCCGTCGCCGTCCGGGCCTTCTTACCCAGCACCTTCGCGGCAAGCGTGTCCAGATCCTGGTCATTCCCAGCTGGGCGCCGGGCGCAAAGCTTGGGCCGTTTGGGTGTGGGGCAAAACTGGGTACCCAAAAGGCCCAAAATAACTTGGCTTGCCCTGGGTCATGGAACCAAGGACTCAAATCTGCGGTCCCCTGGTGGTCTAATTTTGACCCATAGCCATTTGAAAGACGCTGCCCCCCTCTGGAAGCCAAAAATAGAAACCTGCCAGCGATCCCTTTTTGTTCCTGCATCCGTCAAAGCCAGAAAACACACAAATCTTGGAGATGGCCGTCAAACTGCAACCGTTGATCCGTTCTCAGTGCAAAGAAACATCTGTGGGGCGAGCCAGCGTCGAAGGCAACTCCGCAATGATCAAGCCCTGGTTTGTTCATGGCGTGGTTTCCTGTAGTTTCGTAAATTGCTTCCCCCCTTGGCGGGTCATCACCTGTTTGAAGCATCTCTTGATTGGTCGGTGCTTTCTTCGACCCTCACATGCCTGGACAGGGGGACTTCCCCAAGAAAGTGAAAAATTGCCGTTCAAAACCCTCCTGCTGAGCTTCCATCTCTGCTGTGAACATCACGCGTATGTGATTATAAGGGCCCAAATAATTAGAATGCGGGTTGGGGGGTACTGTAAAACCAAATTTGGTCGCCAGTATGGGAGTAAACTATGATTCTTTAGGCCGTATACGGGTATGGGTTGTTCTCACCACCAGGGCACCACAAATGTTGGTCCTTGGCACCAATTTTCCATGCCAAACCCATGTGGGGGTTACCCCATGCTTGACCCACACTCATATTGAAAAACCCGCGGCACGCCCATGCCCCCGTGCCGGACAAGCAGCATCCGCACTCGCGTTGGTGGCGTTCGCAGAACTCCCGGCCTTGACTTTGCGAACCATGCGAACGGGCAGGAGATGGGTGCCTCCGTTTTGGAGGGCTGTTTTGGTGGGGTTCAAGCAGAAACCAGGGCTCGTGTGCCCCATGTCATCCCCTAGATGACAGTAAATATTGACCGTACCTGTATCTGCAACGCAAATGCCATGCTGTCGCGTACCATCTCAGGGTGCCCGTGCAAAGGGGTGCAACGTCTACGGCCTTTTTCCTCACATGATAGCCTTTTTTTTCCTGTATTACGGTAAAAGTAGAGCAATGGGCAAAGGGCAAATAGGGCAAATCCCAAAAGTGCCCCGAAGGCCAAAACTTGCTACGAGCGGATGGACCCCCAAATCTCAACTCAACCCGCAGCCAGCCTTGGCGTGAGCCTTCTTGGCATGAGCCACGGCCTGTCGCCAAGGGCCGTTCGGTGCCCAGTGGACTGCAAGCTTGCCAAGTATGAATGTGTCTGTGTCTGTGGGCTTGTGTGTAACGTGTGTACGGTCACCTGCGCCCGGGACGAAATCAACCCGAAACCAGACCCAAGTCAACTCAAAACCACACCAAAGCCAACCCAAAACCAGCCCTAAACCCAAACAAACAAACCCCCAAACCTGGCTAAACCAACCCGAAAGCAACCCACTGAGGCAAAGCAAAAAATAACGACAACTTAGGGAGAGCTGGATGAAAGAAGCTGTCCTGTCGGGACCCTTTGTGATTTCGGGATAAGTCATAAGCCAGAAAGGAATATGACCCCATCCCTGCTGTTTCCAAGTGTTAACTTGTTTGTTCGTCCAATGAAAATTGCCATGTCTTCGCCTGACATATCGTCATATCACATGTCCTAAGCCGTCTAAATCAGTTGGTCTCGTATGTGTGGGCATCACCTATGCCGTGTTGTCAAGCACATGAACTTATCAAGCGATGATCAGAATTGAAGCGGCAGGGAAGTGACGAGAAAGCAACATGTCACAAGGCAATACCAAAAATATCCAGCACTAACTTTAGTCTACCAAGTGTAACATGGTGAAACTGAGCCCCCCCCCATGTTGCCCCCCTGAAACGAACCCACTTTGGCAACCGAGACGCGTCGCCCACGGACACGTTGATGGTCACCTTACTTGCACAGTGGAAGCAACATGGACGCCCGTTTAATCTTGAAATTCGGTAGGGGGCCCTCTCGAACAAAGGCGCAAACTACATATAGTGATAAAAGTGTCTAAATGTAGTTGTATCAGATATACACACATGAGTAGTTTTTGTTTTACAAAAACAAATACAATAAAGTTAAAAAGAAAAGGTGTGTTATATTATATATATATATATATGTATTATTTCTTGTCATATATGGGGTACCCCGTTGGAGTTCTCAGGTGTTCATCAAAAACCCACACGCATGCTCCTCAATCCCTGCTGGTAAAAATACTTTTAAACAATGCTGGAGAAATTTTGAGCCTGGCAAACTGCCCACTTGTTCCTTGACCTCAATCCCTGCAACGTGAGTTCTATGTGGTCAACATCCGAAGTGATAAGATGCGCTAAGACTGGAAATCTCCAATGCTCAGTTTGCAATAGCACGCGCTAGCACATCCTGAGATTCCCAAGGAACGTCAATCTGCAAGCCAGGATGCGCTAGCACGTGCTAGCGTATGGCACATCTTAGGGATTACCTAGAACTCGAGATGCAGCGGTTAAGGTACAACAGCTGCGGGATATCTGCAAGCAGCAAGTTGATCACGAAAAATGCATTTACCTTCATGTTACCACTACAAATATGATTGCGCAACAAGCACCTACGCTTTTAAGCGCTTCAGCCTGGGGCTCTGCTAGGTTCAATTGTCCAAACTAGAGTCCTGAGAGGCTCAATATCGAATCCAGACATGCTTTGAAGCGCTTGACAGTGCCCTCGTCTGTTTAAAGCGGGTTTGATACCTGCAAACACGGCTCAGCTGCTGGACCTGAAAAATACTGCACAAAGGATGAAAACTCTGAAGTGTCCAGTGGTTGTGCGGTGGTGGGCGCCAATTGGTGTTTTTTGTTGAGGCTTAGAAGGGGGCCACTGCAAATTAATTAGCAAATGACACATCTGGCCGGTTAAACCCTATCAAATTTCACCAGGAACATTCTGCCGAAACACACAGTATGCAATCCATGCGTTTGGTCAAAGGGAAGACGTTGCCAATGTTGCCAGCATCACGGTGATCAACCTTGACCCTGGTGCCAGTACCATGTTGACGCCATTGCCTTGCTCACATTCCGCTACCCACGGCACTTGCGTTGCTTGATCTACCTTCGGCATTTGTATCAAGCCTTTTGGATGAATGTTTGGCACGATTGCCATTGCATGTCTAAAACGGTTCTGTCTCTGAACATCCTCTTCTGACAAGCGGGCCCAAGAGCGCACATGCTGAAAATGTTTGCAGTTTCCTGATAAGTTCTTGTTCTAGTCGTTGGCTGGAGAAAAATTATCTACAAGTGTTTCCTTTTATCAAACAGGAACTATTGAAATTGGTAGCAATGGTTAATCAAGGCGAATCAAAGGCCCAAATTTCAGGGCTCCTGGAAGGAGCAACATATCGTACATATAATGTATAAATATGAAATCTACAAAAACATGAAACAAAAACATGAAATCTACAAAAGGAAGAAAGGGCTGCCTCTCGACCGGGCCACGTTGGCATTCCCAGCTTTCGCGATCGCCTCGGCAGCCTCCGCCGCCTTTTTGGCCACCTCCTGGGATGAGAAATGAAGCAAAACGGAAGCGAAGTGTCGTGGCTTTTCGGCTCCGTTGTTTGCTTAAAACAGTGGCAAAAGAAAACAGCATGTTTTTCTCGACTTGAAGGAAAATCACCAAGAAAACCAACTACCTTCACGGTTCCTCGATGGTTGATACACTGAAATGGGTGATTGTTGTGGAGTTGGCCAGGGTTCAAGTAAAGCGGGAAACCGCTAGGACGCTACATATTTCAGGGGTGCACCATTTTGGGCCAAACCCAAATGCAGGCCGTCTGGAATGAGTGTGACAACCGGGAGATCCATCCAGTGAACAACTTGGCGATCCCTATCCTTCTCGCACGCGCAGAAACATCATGGGCCTAACGGAACTTAGGGTTCTGGATGATCTTATCCTGAACTTCGATGACACAAGTTGCTCCTATGGCCCTGAAGAAGGCGTCCCGAAAGCATCTTCTGAAGAGCTCGTTTCGATTCCTTGCGTGCTGGTTGAAGCTTCTCGTCGAAGCTGGTGTTCCACCTCTGCCAGGTTCAGGGTCACAGTGAGCTTTTGGCTATCCAGCCCTCAAACCACAATGCGCTCGCGTTGCGGGCGGCTGCATCATGGATAACCTTGCCACCCCTGGTGACAACACCTAGGGCTGCCTCACACGTTGCCCCGTCAAGGTTGCTCCCAAAGGCCAGGTCTTCACCATATGCCAGCGACTGGACCTCCGATCCACAACACTGCAAAATCCGCGTATCGGTGGAGCTGTCAGGACGATTTTTGGGCGACACAAGTTGTGGACGGAGATGCGTTTCGTCGTTAAAAGTTTCCCTGATGACTGTTGGGCTAAATGCCCCCTATCGTCGTTAAATGTCCCCAGATCCCTGAATTGCGTGGCCAAAACAATAAAGATGTTGCGTCTTCGCGTAGCTGGGCGACATGTAGCCCTGTCTATGACTTCTGAACGTCGAAGCTTCAGGGATAAAAAGCGTGAAACATACTGGGCACTTCATCCAAATCTTCTTCCAGCAGCGCATTTCTACCATGCTTCGCGTGTTTCCACGGGCACTGGCGTGACCACCTGTTGCCCAGCATGTCCACATGTTGTCACGCATGCATTTGACCGTTGACCACCCACGACGTTGAAGCTTGCCACTCATGTATGTTGAAGCTTGGCCACCCATGTCGCATGTTCATTGCCACTCACGCTTGCCACTCATGCTTGCCACTCACGTAGCCACGCGCGTTGATGCTTGTTCACTCATGTTGTGACTCGTGTCGGTGTTGCTCATCAGCACTGATTGGTGTTTGACCTGGTCGGCTTGCGAGTTTTGGCTCTGTGCATGCATGCGGGCTCTCGGCCTCTCGCGCGCCCTTCGCTCAGCGGCTCAGTCGAGGTGCGATTCGTGCTCATGACCCATTTGCGCCTTGCAGCTCGGGCAAAAGCACGGTGGCTCGCGACTGAGCCTCCGCTTGAAGGACAGCAGCAATAGCTTCAGCTTCGTCTGATCTCATGCAAGCGCAGGACCCAGAAAGCCCTTGGAGGACTCGCGCGCATCCGGCACGGAACGATTGATTTTTTCCCTTGCAGGAGCTTGACCATGGATATGGCAAAGCTCTTGCGCAAGGGGCGCAAGCCGAAGCTGAAGGCGAGTGGCCAGGGCCCCGCCGCCACCACCACCTGCCGCCCGTGGAGGAGCGAATCCCAGCCCCACCGCCGCCAGCTGCAATGCCGCAGTTTGGGCAAGGCCGCCTCCACCACTCAAAGCCCCTCCGATGGGCTGGCACAACGTGTCGTGGCTTCCGCGCAGCGCACACCCACAGCCGCACACGCCTGTGACACGCCTGTGGAGGTCACAAAGCCCACACAGCCCGCAAAGCCTGCAGAGCCCAAGTCCGTGGCTGCAGAGCCCAAGCCTGCAGAGCCCGCCCGTGACCGCAGAGCCCAAGCCTGCCGCCCAAGACTGCAGAGCCCGAGATGTTCGCCCCCCCCCTGAGCCAAAGCGGCGGAAGCGGACCCTGCCCACGCTGCACGCCACGTCGAAAGGCAAAGCTGGCAGCTGCACATGGCGGAACTGCGAGGAGCCGGGTGGCAAAAAGCGATGCGCTCGTGCGCTTTGGTGTCTTGATGGGCTGTGTGTGTTCATGGTGCCACTCATGACAAGCTCGTTGCTCACGCATGGATGCATGCATACTTGGCCACCCATGTTGACCACGCATGTTGACCATGCGTGTTGAAGTTGGCGCATGTTCACTCATGGTGTGTGTGTGTGTGTGTTTTTTGGTGGTGTCGCTTGCCTGCTTGCAATTTGCTGGAGGGCAGAAAACTTGCAGAGAGAGATGCATTTGACGCACGGCGCACGCATTTTGTACGCGTATTACCTGGGTTTGTTGGGGCGATTGCCTTGTGTGGGGGGGCGACTGCGATAGGAGCTTTGTCGGATTGTTTTGCAGCCAGCTCTTACTGAAGGATGAGACCATGCTCCCGGTTGGCTCCCGTTGTCAAGGACATGGACGCCAAGCACGGTTCAAGTAGAGGATCGCCTCCACCTTTCGGTCATCCAGCTCCAACACCTTGTCAAGGTCCCCGAATCCACCGGCTTGCATCTCCAGCTTGTGGTTGGCACTGGCCTGCGCCGCAGCGCCACGCCATTGAGAAGTTTACCGCAAAGTGAGTTGTTTTTGGGGGCTGTGCGTAGGCGGGAGGTGGCCTTGAGTGTCAGGCCATTCCCTACTTGAAGGTGGGGCACTCCTCAGTACGAAGACAAAGTGTCATCCACAATCACATAGCCCATGTCGAGATTCATGAAGAAGCATCATCACCTGCGTGGACTTTTTCGTCCGTGAATTGCGAGATCTTCTTGTCGCGGCGCTGGCCGTAGTCGACCCGGAGACGGTCATCATTTCCGCTGTCCTTGGCAGCATCGTTGCTGTGACCAGGCTTGCCACATACGAAGCATGCCGGGGTTGACCCTGACTCTTGGTACTGCTTGCCTTCCCGCAGCTGCTTCTCGCGCCTCCGCCGTGTGGCCTCCTGCTCCTGCCGGCTCAGGACGCTGCGCGTCTTGGTGATGTTCACTCACCAGGGCCAGGAGTACCAGTATTTCTCGGCGTCACTGCCCGAGTGCGGCGGTGGTTGTTTGTGATGTCATGCGCTGGTCTCGGCTGAACAAGTCCGGCTGCCCTTGACACCCAGGATGTGGATCTTCCTAGAGGCCTTGACTGCGAAGCCTGAAGATGATCTAACCTGGGCTCCATCTCACCTGACCCGGGCTCCGTTGTCTTCACCAGTCAGACCTGCAGGCATGGAGAAGCAGCAAGGCCTGGTTCCATGTGGGGGACTTCCATGGCCACCCACGCTCGGTGCTGCTCCTTGCCTCAGATCTGCAGCTGCTGGATGAACCGCTCCGCTACCATGGGGGGAAGCCTACACTCGAGAGGCGAACTACAACGGGGGACGCGGTGACCTGCTCGTGCCTTCTTCGGCTCAAGGCTCTACTGCGCATCTGATACTCCTTACGGGGACCAATCGGCATGCATCGAGCCGGGCTTTCAGTGTACCACGGGTCTTTTGGATGGCCCGATAAAGAAACCTACAGTACCCATTTTTGGGGTGCCCAATTTTAGAACACAATCATGGTTCAACTCCAGCACTTCAGAAAACCAAACTTTCTCTCGGATGCACTGTTCTTTCTACACGGCTCAGGGGCTTGACATGGCGACAGTTTGATTAGAACCCAAAATGACCAGCTTTCTTTTGGTCTCCCTGTAAACGGTACCCTCAAAAAATTGGACACACCCAAGTCACCTAGGTCTCCAAACGGGGAGAGAGGGGGGCAAACAACCGAAACCAAGCCACGGTGGCCGTCTGGTTCGCGGACTCCGCAACCTAGGAACTTCGACCCTGGAAGAATCTTCCCGAGTGATGCTACCGATGGTTGGGGTTAGGGGAAGCCAAAAAAGAATGGAAAAACAAATTCCAGTTTTGGGATTCCCAAAAAGAAAAACAGAAAAAACCGACCAAAGATCATCACCAACCAACCAAGGATCATCCAAAGATCATCTCCACCATAAGATTGACCAAAGATCATCACCAACCAACCAAAAACCAACCAAAGGAATTAATTCCAGTTTTGGGGTTCCAGTTTGCTAAGACCCCTCATTGTTTTGACCTGTCGAGGCGATGCCAAGCGTCTGCTACTTATTTTAGCTTCACTATACAACTGATGGAGACACTTGCGAGCATTGAATGAGAGGGATTGCAGGCGGGAAGCAAGCCCAAACGGTAACATCAGTGATCATCTGGGTATGGGTCAAAATTAAACCACCACCAGGAACTGGACCGCAGGTTTTAGTCCTTGGTTCCATGTACCAGGGTCCCATTTCGGGTACCCAGTTTTGACCCACAGCCATAGACTCTAAGACTCTGAGAACAAATATATATATATATATATTTCGTAAGGTCTTTCACAGCTGTCACAAGAGCCCGAAAGCACAAAACTGCAGCTGAGCCACCACATTTGACTGGTTGGCCGCTGAGACAGCGGGATTGCTCGCAGCCGCTGCAGCTCCTGCTGCTGCCGCTGCAGCCGCTACAGCCGGCGCCGCTTTGCCGCCCTGACTCAGCTGGGCAAACAGTCAGCAAGAAGACATCTGCCAGCCGCTCCACACACAACCGCACCCGCATCTGCTGCCAACTAAGTCGCCACCGCAGTGATGTTGATGCTCGGGTTGGAAACGTTGCTCAATGCCTTCTTGGTGCCAGATACCACCTTGGAGATCTGCTCTTCCT